CTACATCGCTACAGTGACGTGTAGTTTTTAATTCATTGTTTCTGCTCATTCATAGGATCTCATGGATACATTTTGGGAATTTTGTGATGAATGATTTATTTTACATTTGCACGCTGTTGATGAAATGTGCTACCATTTTCTAAGTATACTTATATCAATAGTCTCCTTGAATCGTAAATTCATTAGAGTTTTCAAAGTAAGCTAAACAGCCAAGTAAATTAGCTATATTTTAATTGAAAACGTTTCAGAGACCAGCTATTATGAACATTCGTCTCTGTAGAACTTACGCTTACGGATGAATTCGAAAAGTGTCTCCAGGCTGTAATAAATAGCAATTTAAAGCTTTCGCAATTATCAATTCGGGCGCACACAATTTTCACGATATTGGTAAAAGAGTTTCATCAAGCTCCCATTTCTCTCATTTTCAACTCATTCGCCAAATTTTACCGATTTTTAATCTGTGAAAAATTTTTTTTACCTATTTTTAGTTTGTACATTTATCGATTTTTTAATTGTTCGACATGGTCACCGAGAAAATCGGCAATTATTTTACAGCCTAATCAACAGATAATCTTTATGACAAATTCGTTACAAATGTTGCATTCTAATCTAGTAAAGAATTCTATACAAATAAAATTCTCCTTGTATTATATTATAATAAAGAAATTCATTAGTTTATTGAAAACATTTTAAGATTAATTTTTGCCCTTTAACAGTACGATAAAATGATTTTCAATGTATTATTCACTATTGAAAATATGAAAAATGGAAATGGATCACATTTGCAAATCAGTATTTACCTAGTCAACTGCATTGATTCATAAATATGGTAATGACAATAATTATACATAAATCTATAAATAAGATACAAATCAAGCACAAATACACAATATCTAGAAATATCTACATCTCAGTCAATATTTAATATACTTGGATTCGCATAAATTTAATTTTCCGACTGACTTACACTCTCCGCTTTGATACGAAACGCAATTGATACCTCTAAAATAGATTAATAATATTTTATTTTTCGCATTAACAACCTATCCTCATTGCTTAGACCAAGTAACAATATAATTACTGCCGTCCACATACCACAATTGATTAGTCCTCCGTATAAGATTTTGAAACAGATCTCAGAGAATTCGTATCAAAAGGTTAATCTTTCCATCCCATTGCAATACACACAGTGTGGAAATTGCATTTGTTTTAAATCTCAAATACAATATCGAATGTTCCTTTGACAATCTTCTCATAAAAGAATTCATAAAATAGAATTTTACTATACAAAAATATTTCGTTGTACATCAAAGGTTTCGTGAAGTTCCGGTTTATCTTTTATGTCTTTATGGGTTGAGATTGTCACGCCTTCACCTGCAAGATGATAACGTCCCATGGTTGTAAATAAAATTCAAGAGGGACTTCCTGAGTTTGCTTCACAGTCAAGGCTATTGTTATAACATACAAAAGCTCATAACATACAAAATCAAGCTATAACATACAATCAGCGCCGTTAACCCGTAACTATAGGGTACAAATGTGTTTTTCCGCCAAAGTGCAGGCTTTAAATTGTATCGTATGTATTTCCTAATCCACCGATATCATCAGCTTTGTGAAGCACAAAGCTGATGATAGAATTGCAAATAATTCAGTTTACTTGATAAAAATACTTTTAGTTCCGAATAGCCACCAGTGAGGACGCAGCAAGTTTCATCAATAGTACCAAGCTCTTCAAAGTATTCGGTATAGATTAATGTGTGAGTTTCTACCATGGTACATCTACCATGATAGGAGATTACAAAAATTATGAATGTTCGTTAGATCAATCGTTAGGTTCCCTGTACGGTTCATCAACCCAATGGATATTTTTGCCTCTTCCATAGGCTGGCGTCATTCCATTTTGAGATCTTTTTCAGCCATACTATGATTATTTGTGCTCTGATAATTATTTTTATGAACTATTCCCACCAGCTTTCCGATCAAAATTTCGCTCTGTAACTGTTTGAAACTGTAAAATTGTCCCTCATTGCCAATTAAATTTTCAATGTACATAATAACGATTCTGTCATTCTGATCTTCATACCATTTCTCCAAAATAACAATTGTAATGATATATGTTAAGCATAAAATTTTGACCCCTCAATAACTTTTCAATCCAATCTTCTCAATAATTTCCAACAAATCTAAATATACACCAGTATAATTGGAATTCAAATATCAGTGAAAGGTGAAAAGTACAGAGCAAACAAAAGAAAAATTTCGATTGGCTCCTGGAATATGGAAAAGGAAGATTATTAGATTGTACTGAGCTAAGGACTTGTACTCAACTGCGCTGAGATAAGGATAGTTTATTGACTTTTAACTATGAAACAAATAAAATTACAATGCTCAGGTATGTGGCCTCGATGTGGCTTAAAGACGGGATCCTTGATGCAGACTCACATCATTCCAACAATATTTTGTAAACAGACGGTCGCAGCTTTGAACTCCAGCTGACTGTAAGTTCGACTAAAAAATTTCATTTATCATCTTAGATCGTATGTTTCTTGTTTGTAGTATAATTTGTTACCTATCTTCTGGTTGCAAATATTCACCGCATATTTGAATAATATTTATTTGAAGCATAACTATGCCAATAAAAGTTGATACATTCCATGCCTGATGGCTCTTAATATATTGCCCTCATGATATATTACGGCACACTATTTCCTATTGTAAAATTAATTTGGAAAACACTTTAGAATTAAAAATTTGTGTGACACGAGATGTGGGATGGTTCCGCACATTCGATATGAATCGCATTCGATACTCTACGGAATCTCATATAAGATGCTTTATGGATCCTAGCTTAAGATTCTCTATGGGTCCTAGCATGAGTTGTGGTGTAGATCCTTACATGAGATATGACATGGTTCCCCTTATGAGGTATGATAGGTTCATCACATAGGATATGATATGGTTTCCCTTATCGTGAGATATGGTATGGTCCCCCTTATGAGATATGATAGGTTCATCACATGGGATATGATATGGTTCCCCTTATGAGATATGATAGCTTCATCACATGATATATGGCATGGTTCATCACATGAGATATGGAATGTTTCTTCACGTAAGATTTGATATTACTCCTCAAATGAGACACAGTCGATGAAAATCCCAAATAAATGTACAGTAGAGTCAGAGTGAAAGATTCGGCACAAGACCATTCATGGCAAAGCCTAATGCTCGTTAACACAATTCATACTTCAAAGAATCCCAGCAAAAACGTGCTAGCTCATAAATGTTATTCAACCAAGCTGCGGTTACTCCGTTATATCTCGACATTTCATATGTGAGATGAACAATCAATTTTGTAATTGAGCTACTTCACAAACAGCTCTTTCAGTTTTATCTTCGATCTTTCATATACACGTCATCGGTCTCTACTGTCAACGGAAATCCATGATATAATAAATTAATGGATTCGCTATTCATGGCAACAACACAAATCAAAGACAAACTACAATATTTATATTGAATTTTAGTTCGTAAGGCCGTAAGTTCTCGTTTTATTACCTTGATTTAAAGCTGTAATTTTCTCAGACATGCATAATTTTACTCGCTCATTCGACACTTGCACTGCGGTTGCTGAAGGCGACGTTTCTGTTGCCGTCTGCGAATAATTGAACCTTTAAGACGTGGTCATTTTCAGAGCCATTTCCGCACCCCTATGTCACTGTCATGACGATGTAAGACTTGAAGCTGAGGTTGAGACTCTTCCGCATCGGGTGCGAGTTCAGCCCTGAAATGATCAATGCACATTTCAACATTTGAAGCAATATAGATGAGAATGATTTTAAAACTTTCGTGTATACAAGAGAGCTTGTCAGGAAAAGATTCAAATTTTCGTGTTTTCGTGTATACAAAGACTTTAAAACCTTTTCTATATCGAACAAGGAAAATAATCGAATAGTTGTCTGTTTATACAAATTTGTTATCACGAAGGAAATCCCCATTGTAATGTATCTCATAATCAACTATTGGATAGGAATAATTATTTAGTGACAATTTAAGGCTTTAGAATTCATGATATTAGGAATTCTAAATGTTCTAGATTCAAGAATTCTAGATGTTAACACTGTCATTTCGGTTTGAACATTCAAGTTCCCAAGTGGTTAATTCTACTCATCAAATTTATTTTCGTCATTTTGTACTCGGCTCATAAAGTGAATTTGAACTTCCGTTAAAATTTCGAAAATTTCTACATTTACATTATGAATTATTGCGGCTTTAAACAAAATTATCGAAACAAAGCTTTCCAAACATGGCTTATGTCAATTCACGTGGCAACTACAAACGTTCACTCGCTAATTTTATAAATATTTGTTAAAGATTTTTTGTGTCCATGTATGATTGTGTCCATGTATGCCAGATTGTGTATGTGTGTGTTTGAAGCGCCTGGCATCGTAAGTACATTGAGAACGCATCCAGGATATTGATAGAGTGGGGGATATTACATAGACCTAAAATGTATCCTTGGTGACATAATATTAAGGTTTGCAATACAGAGAGGAAAGTATTTGATATAAAATTTACCTTAGACTTTAAAATTGATTTAGGATCACGTGAGTTACGATATTCGGGATAGTAGGATGCTAAAATTGCAGGAATTACCGAATCCTGGTAATGCCTGGATAACCAGCTAATAACCTATAAAGAACTTTACCTGCTAGAATCGCAACGAACAATAGTTTGATAACTGGGCATTGAATTTTTTGTTGATTTGGAATTGATGACTCAATGTAAATGTCGGGGAAAATATTCATGAAAGTAATTGATTTTTTCCTAATTCTTTTTATTTATTTTCAGTTCATTGCCATTTCATAAGGCATTTGCACCAATTTCGCAGCCCTTATACCGTGCCCGCATGCGAGTTCATTTGGTGAAGTTGAGTTCGTCTATTATCATTCACACTACATAATCATTGTTATCCTGTTACGTATAGTTTAAATTGGAAATATTTAAGATATAATGACTCGTCGAAAAGATAAATTTAATGTTAATGACGAGAATGGCCAAGCTATGGAAGCACGAGCGGTGGAGGAAACCCCTCTAAATCCCGACAACCGCGGCGAGTGGAGCAATCAATGCGAGTTTTTCCTCTCCTGCCTCGGATTTGCTGTGGGTTTTGGCAACGTCTGGCGCTTCCCATATTTGTGTTACAAGAATGGTGGAGGTGAGTCTAGATTAAATGTAATAACTTGATTATGTTTTAATTTCTATATTTTTGCAACACTTCTCTTTAACTTCACTTCTAGTTGTTTGTTTGCCTGCTACAAATCTTGTAATCGAAATTTAATACACTTCTACTTGTCCTATCGATCTGAAATTTTGCACACATGTGTAAAGTTGGAGACAATGCATGAAACAAATGTCAAAATAAAAATGATTTTAAAAATCAAAAATTTTTTTAATATTAAAAAAAATTGAAAAATAATTTTGTCAGCTACATCTCTTATAACTGATATTTGACACACTTTTACCTGTCTAATTGATCTGAAATTTTGCACACTTGTATGAAGTCAGAGGCAATGCATGGATCAATTATCAGAATAACTAATTTTGAAAAAAATTATATATTAAAAAATTTTATATATTAAAAAAATGAAAAATTAATTTTTTTAAATATTGCACACTTGTATGAAGTCAGAGGCAATGCATGGATCAATTATCAGAATAAATAATTTTGAAAAAAATTATATATTAAAAAATTTTATATATTAAAAAAATTGAAAAATTATTTTGTTTAATATTCGAAAATTAAATGAGAAATTCATTGTACATCTGTAAGATTGGAGACACTGGATTCTTTGGAAGTGTTGTCTTTAAAAAGTAATTTTTAAACGTATATTATAAATATTTGATTAAAATTAGATCTCCCCGGCATTAATATCTAATAAGATTTTTATGTTTCAGTAAAGGAAAAGTTGCTTGTCGACATTAATAAGTTTTGTCTTCTGCTGACAATTTTCCACTCCTAATGATTGTAATTTGCAGCGGCGTTCCTGATACCATACACCATCATGCTCCTGGTAGCTGGGATACCGCTTTTCTTCATGGAACTCGCGCTCGGACAATACGTCAGCCTGGGTCCTAATATACTCTTCCCTAAACTCTGCCCTCTAACTGGAGGTGAGTATTGCATTAATACATTGATAATATTCTAGATTCAAATTGTATTTTCCAATCATCTATTCAGCTCCAGAAATTAAATCAGATAGTCGTATACACAATTGTCATGCGGATTCACAAATTCGAGAAGATTTATTTTACTGTTCGCGCATAATGTTACTGTTACATTAGCTTAGGGGTAACGGCACCGAGGTGAATACATATTCGCTGTTGCTAGTGAGCGACGCTTGATTGCCGTTGAGGTGGTGATACAGCATGGCTTAGGAAGATACCATAAACTTATTTTTGTAATTTGCGTGCAGGGATTACAACCAGTGGCCAGAAGCTTAACACTAATTACAGGTCAAGTGAAAAGTTTCTGGTGCTAGTACGAATGTTCGCGAACTTTGCTTCGATTCTTTGTAAAGAACGATTTGCAGAACGACGAAGATTAATCGGGATTTGCAAAATTTTAATTGTATACCATAATAAGATAATTGAATAATTTTGATTATTTAATCTAATTTTTGTTTCACAGAGTGCCTCATATGAATGTGAGACATGTAACGTTCAATCAGGAGTCGTTTATTGTTGCCGAATCATCGTCATTAATATATATTTTTATCTCCCTCCATCAATGCATCATCTGTTATTTCGGTGAATCATCATTCACAAAATGTGAAGTTTTCGTGTACTTTTCACTAGTTTCTAGTTTTAAATTGTAAATAAGGATTAATCTAGATTGTAACACGAGTCTTATCTTATGCTGTAACCCGTTTATTATTTAGATTATTGACCGTGTTTCGTCCTAGATTATAGCAGTGTATCATCCTAAATTTCAGAATGTGTCTACTCTAGGCTCACAGAAAGCGTCATGTTGTATATAGATTGTCGCACGCGTACATTACAAAACTGTACATGTACTCCTGAATTGTTTCTTATATCACGTCTCAGATTGAAACCCATGTTTCTCCCTTTATTTTTGCGCATATTTTATTCTCAATTTCTACACGTGTCGCATCCGAGATTGTTTCGTAAATTTAACGCCGAATTTATGCTCGTGTCTTATCTCAGATTATTTAACGTGTCTCAATGCAGACTGCTACACATTTGAAGAGAACGCGATGTGTCGGAACGAATCAATGTATTACTACGCCGGCGAGTGTCACAACACGGACACTTTTTGCGGTATCGACTCCCTGGAAGCCGTTAATTCAACGCATTGCCTCACGGCGAACAACATCTCCATCAGGGCCGAGCTCGCAGTCAAGAGATATTCCGCAGCTGAGGATTACTACAGGTGATACCTGAGCACTTATAACTCTTGAGACTTTACTTTTTTTTGAGACTTGAGAGTTAATCATTTAAACTTTTTAAGATTGAACGATTGGCGAAATGATCAACATAATAATCTTTTACACATAAACCTTTTTTTAAATGTTGCAATTAAAAGTAAAGCATAGTTAGGATGAGTCTTGATTTCAGTCGTACTCGTCCTAGAATCAAGTATATGCAATATGTTTGACGAAAAAAAAAACACAGTCCAACTAGCTGAAAGTGAGATATTTTTTCATTCAACAATGAATGAAAAATATATTTATCTTCAATGCAAGATAACCCTTGAAGCGTGTTGCAATTTTTTTACTATGATGTCCAAAATCATCGTTTATAAAAAATTAATATTTAAATTTTCAGAAGTCGAATGCTCGGTATCAACGGCCGGTCGTGGTCAGACATGGGAAGTATTCGATGGGAATTGGTGGGCTGCTTGGCTTTAGCTTGGTTGGTCATCGCCGCTTGCCTCGTTAAAGGAGTGAAGAGCTCTGGTAAAGTCGTGTACTTCACGGCAATCTTCCCCTATGTGGTCTTGGTGATCCTGTTTGTAAGAGGTGAGGCAAATATTTAAGGAAGCGACCCAAGAGCAATATTAAGGACCAAAAGGGTTTCAGAGTACATTGAATAGTTTATCTACCATCAAAATTAATGCACCAGTTAATGGTAATCATTTGATTCTCGTTTAACATGCAAATCAACATAATATTTGTGGCCATCACCACAGCGCATTTGTGAATCATACAGCAGCATGATGCACAGCAGTTCACTGATAAATAGCAGCAGTGTTTCTCCAACTAAAGAACGAAAATTCAGTCAATCTGGCTGAAATGTCATCCACGTTGATATGGGCCAAACATACATAGATTAGCTTAGATTCAATACGGAAAAACAATAGCGTTTTCTCGGACAATAAATACGGGGTTATGATGAGATTTGGTTGAGGAGAGTCAAATAACATGGTAATTTGGAAAATTAGGTCAATTGGAACTCAGGAAAAGTGTTTCAAAGGTTATTAGAACTTTAACTTACAGAAGGTAACGATAGGCAAAAATGATTTCTAAAGCTTTCCATAGCTAGTTAACCAGTAAACTTAATTAGAATTCTTTGTAAAAGGAAACTATTCTAAGTTCTATGGATTTACTATGCTACTGCAACACGGATCTACTATGCTACTTCTAAACTCGATAGAAAATTAAATGGTACACTATGAGAATTGTTTCAGAAGAGTGGTATGAACACATTAAACGATTGAGTGAACCGTTAAATTCTATTTTTCATTGAAACCCTAAAATTTTCACTCAAAATCTATGTTCAATAATTATATTAAAGTTATTAATTTGAATGCACTAGAAAATGCTTTCTTAGTTGTAAAAAGTACTATTTCCCAGGTATCACACTCGAGGGAGCTTACAAAGGAATAGAGTTCTATATTCTGAAGCCGAATATGAGCAGGCTGATGGAAGCCGAAGTTTGGAACGACGCAGCTGCCCAAATCTTCTTCTCTTTATCAACGGCCTTTGGTGGTCTCATCGTTTTGGCTTCATACAACGGATTTAAAGTCAATTGCATGAGGTTAGCAGGAGAAAATTTTCTCATAATATGTAAATTGTAACCATGCTTACCGCTTACATAATATAATACATGATGACATTCAAACACATAATCGGTTGAAAATTTAGTAAATGAAAGGATTTGAGAACTCATTTTAGCCTACTCTAAGTCGAAATTTCAGGGGCATATCATTCTATGATTAATGCAGCGTTTAAAAGGGCGGCTGAATGTTGAGCTCAAAGTTTTTGTATGTGAGCCGGTGTACCAAACTTTGTCGGGAGCTTCATCTGTCTGGAGGTGTCGTTAAGCTATCGAATGAGGGTGAGTTTTGTTAATTTTTTTTTGGAATAGTTTAGAGTTGACGGAGGTTGTGCTTAAATCTGATATAAAATATAGGGGAGAAGAAAAAGAGCTCTTTACTGTTTATTGTTTGATAGTTATCACTAACCCACTAACCATGCGGGCTGATTTTCTGGAATCTAGAACGATGATTCCAATTCTGGAATGACGATTCCAGAACAGTTTGTTTCATCCAACAAATGCATAAAATAGTGAGATATTGAATATTATGTGCCTAAATTTCGTAATTATACTATCATTGTACATGAAGAACTGCATGCATCAAAACTCAAGAGATGTCTAAAGAAACTACCCTAACAAAATTTGGGGACCACCTAGGCTTCGGCCGAATAGTCACTACACCCCGCGCCTGCGCAAAGTTTTTCTGGGTATGCGTGGCCACCCGATCAAAATCAGTTTGCGGTCAGAATCTCCTACCCGACTTTATAGTCGCCTAAGAAAATGACAAGGGTTGTCCGAGCCGAGTCGTATCGAGCTAACCAGCTGCCCAGAGGCTGCCTGTCGAACCCTGAGCCGAAGCGGACACAGAGAAGCTGATTTACGTGCTCCCAGAGTCCTGGGCGGCCAAAATACAGGATCGCACACGTCTCTAAATTTTGTTAGGCTATTTCGTTACATTTATTTATATTAATGTGCAACTGTTGAATATGTGTAATTAAATGTGTATCTATTGAAGTTAGAACAGCCTAGGGCATCAAATGAATTCAAAATGGTAAAATAAGGTCACTTATATTCCACCGCTGATAAAAGAAGTGTGAAAAGTTCTGACCTTTCATTTTCAGAGATGCGATTGTGATTGCGATCAGCAACTGCGTGACGTCAGTGTTTGCTGGTTTTGTTATATTCAGTATTCTCGGCTTCATGGCAACGTCTGCTGGAGTCGAGGTAAGATTCGAGGCTGAACTCGGAGAATTGAGTGAGTCAATATGACTCATTCGGGCTAGTCGAAAATGCACGCATTTTCTGTTTGTCTTTCTGTCGGGCATTCGTTTCATAACTGACGATATTGGTTCAGAGTGGCATCATATAAGAAATGCATAATCGAGAAACTTGAATGAGTCATGAAAAAAGTAGTCAGTAATACTCATTTTATTTTTATTTATTTAGTTTGTTACCAGCCTAAAAATAATATAAATAGCGCCTGTTTATTTAATTGGCGATAAAGAAGTATTGGTTCATTTGTTAAAGGGACGACGCATGATATTCGGCGATCAGAGAATATTAAATTTGTAGTGAATTTATAGAATTGTAGCGGTGACAGCGTTGATAACGCTATTAGACCTGTCGCTGATCCTGAACATGTAGAATTTTCACAGCTTGTTGCGCGTCTCAACCATTCATCTCACTGCTCAAATTTAGCTTTTCTCTTAACCGCCCGGCCACCTCGCCGATTTTGACCAGAACTGTTGCATGGAAGCTGGGATCGAACCCACAACTCGATTCTTCAATCATTGTACACTAATCTTCAAACACTGAGCCACCCTGCATTTACCCTCTAGCTTTTTTTGTGCTCTGAACTGCAAACTGTGGTCCTTCCTGCATTTACCCTCTAGCTTTTCCTGACTCACTGACCTTCAGGTAACGGATGTGGTGTCGTCAGGGTCTGGTCTAGCGTTCATCGCTTACCCTGCCGCCGTGACCATGATGCCTCTACCGCCACTTTGGTCATGCCTTTTCTTCGCCATGTTCATCACCTTGGGGCTCGACTCCCAGGTATAATGTTTACCGAACTTGAAGCATTTAAAACTGGGAATTGTTAGTCATCTCAAAAATTATGGATTGCTTCAAATTAAGGAATAAATTTGATTTCTATAACTAAATCCGCTGCTGGTATGCATTCGGCTTAATTGTTTGTGGGCATAGGCGTTCCTCAATGAATTTGAGACTACCGAGTCCGGATAAAGACTGTTAATTTTTCATTATTATATTCGTTCATGATTATCAAAAAGATCGAAAAATAATCACCTCGAAAAATCTTTAATGCTTTGGAAAAAACGCAAAATTACGCGTGTCTTGTGCTGTGCATAACTTAATTTTGCCCATTTTTTTCAGTTTGCGTTTGTCGAGACGCTCACATCGGCCATATTCGACCAGTTTACGTCCCTACGCGAGCGTAAGCCTCTGGTCGTCTGCGTACTGTGCCTCTGCATGTTTCTATGTGGCATCGCGTATTGTCTGGAGGGGGGCGCGTTTTTGTTCGAGCTCTTCAACTGGTACTCCGGGTGGCTGGCGGTCATCGTATACGCCATTGTTGAACTCATAACGGTCTCTTATCTGTACGGTAAGACAAACTCTTAGAAAATTATGTCAATACCTTTTAATGTTGCCGGAAAGCGGGATATTGCACTTATTATTTTTGCACTCAAATATCTAAAAAATATAACTCAGTACTCACTGCAGTGAGTGACAGAGAGCGCATTTTCTAATCGACGAAAACGTGAAGTGACAGACGGACAGACAGATAGACAGACGGACAGACGGACATGGCGAGCACAATAGTGATTTTTTTCCATAATTGAGAGAATTCGCTAAATTCTAATTTCGCTAAATATCAAATTCATCCTCATAGGAAATTGCAGGTACAGCTCACATTTTCAGCTGCATACAATGAAACGGTCCAGAATAATTAATCGATTAAGAATTAAATAATAAGATCGAAAACTCTTGCTATATCATGCCCCCAAATCAATTGTTGACTTCATAATTGAAGAATTCAAGTTGCCTGCTGGCTATCCTGAACTTCATTGGACATTTAATTCGCTATTTGTTAACAATTGAGGCGTGGTTAAACTTAGGGGACGGTGAGGCGTTCAATCCGTGAGCAGTCATGTTGACTGCTGTTTGTATGTTCATTATGAACATTTTCATTCAATAAAATATGAGACGGTGACGCATTAAATCGGTGAGCAATCATGTTGACTGCTGTTGGTGTATGCATTATGGAAGCCATAGTATATGGAATAAAGAACACTCAATGATCACTGGAACAAGTACACATTTTACAGTCTTTCAATTTTTCTTCTACCTACTTGTGATTGTAATTAGTAAGTAAAAAACGATATCTTCACAAATATCTTCATTTGTTTTGTGTTGAATTACGTATCAATTCATTATGGCATGACTTATTCGTTTTTTCATGCTTGCATTTGCATGGTCTGTGATAAATTTACACAACCGATTCCGTTTGATATTTTCTTCAAATGCAGTTTTTTGCTGTTTTAAATGGTGTTCCAAATGCGGTTTTTAGCACGTGCCCGTTTTTGTTTCCCCGCCTGAATACCTACTTCATGAAGAATATTGGCCTGATTGCTTTGTCTTGAGTCCCTTGAACGGTCAACGTGTCTTTAAAATCTCCTCTGGAAAAAAACCAGTAGAAGTATGATGAAAATGGAATTGTTAACTCTGAAGATGCTTTCTTCATTGTTGATGGGTGCCTTTCTAATTCAAAGTTTCAACGGAGAAATTTATGCAAAATTAGGTCTAGCTCTTCTTTTAGGCTATAATGCAAACTTTGGATAGGAAACCATAGTCAAGATTATTTCGACTTATATTAAAACAATAATAAACTGTAAAAAGAAAAACTTCTTCAAGCAAGCAAGTTGCGCAAGTTATTTTTACAACAGATTGTAATCGTGCACCTACCATAATTTTCTACGTATTTCTTATTCCATATGTGTAGAACTAATTCTTCCTTCAAGGTTTCAAGCGATTCATGAAGAATATCCAAGTCGAGATGGAAGTCAACGTACCATTGCCTTTCTTTGCGTACTGGGCAACAACATGGACCTTTTTGACTCCCTTAGTGCTGCTGGTATGTAACATCCCTCTTTTTACCGACAAATTTATAAGCTTTCCTGTCGTACTGGTTTAGTTAGAACTGTTAGAGTTAGATGGTTATTCGCTCTAACGTACGAGAGAGCGAATAAAAAATATCATAACTGCTTGCGATTCTAACAGTTCCGATTCACAAGTTATAATTTTCAGCATTAATGTGATTTTTGACAGCGGTAACTTTACAGTGAGTTCCCGCTATATGTCACTCCACTCACTCACTTAAAAGAAATGTTAGTAGTTATCTTGGAATTATCAACTAGGGGCCCATTCGTACGCTGCATTATTCTCAGAGTTACATCCACAATTGACTTTGCAACCATCTTGGACGAAATAGTCAAAGTTTTAGGGAATGATCCTGCATGTTTTGCATAGACTAGGCCTTGCAAATTTTAAGCCCTCTGCTGATCCTATCACTGATCCGGTGAATTTTGTTGTGTCTTCTACCTCATGCGCTCAATCTTGTTTACCGCCCACGTGCGGTATAAGCCAAAGCTATCACCCTCACCACCTGTTCAACTCCCACTTCCCCCGTCCAATTCTTAATCGTCAAAATTATTTTCTGCCATCGCTACCGAGAAATTATGACAATGGCGTTCATTTATTTCAACACAAGTTGCTCAAACAAAATTAAATTGTATATTTCGTTATATTCTTAATGATTTGTAAAAGTATCTTATATCTAATTGTACTTTCTACCGACCCCAGGCTGTGCTGTTCTTCTCTATTTACAATTACACTCCTGCCTACTACGGGAGCTACGTTTATCCTCCCTTAGTGCAAGGCTTTGGATGGTCCCTTGTGGTGCTGCCTCTGCTCAGCTTCCCAGTGTCTGCTCTCTATGAGATCTTCTATAACAAAAGAGTAAGTGCATGAAAATCAAGACCATTGTAATATTTTGAGGTGCAGGATCGTGAAGGAAATGAAGTTTTTTTTGATTGGTCGTATCAAGCACTCTACTTCAATGGNAAATTAACAATTTTGTTTAATTTATCGTATCAAGCACTCTACTTCAATGGTTACGTGATAGATGTTGATTATTAGTTATTAAAAATCAACTTCAATAGCCACGGAGTAGGTACTGCGGATTTATCAAATCCGACAACCAGTGATCAAAAAGCTATTTGGTAAGTGTAGCTTATTGACCAAGTCGAACGACCTACTTCAACAGCTCGATAATAGGAGTGGCTTACTGGTCATTCCAAACAACATACTTAATTGAGCGGCTAGGGGCAAATTTTGAATTATGACCTTATCCGGCAACCTATTTCAAGAGCTTGGTAGTAGGTGTGCCATATTGTTCCATAAAACAAACTACTTAAACAGCTTGTAGGAATAGGCGCTGCTTATTGGCCAAATCGAACAACCTACTCAACAGCTGGCTGTTAGATTAATGATCATTGGTCATAACCAACAACCTAATTTAACAGTCAGGTAGTACATATTTGCTTTTTGAAGTGCTTTAAAATGTGTTATAAATTATTGATTTTTCGACACCTTGGATTCAAAATTTTCGGATCCTTTGACCCTTTTAATAATCCCCCAAAAATAGGTACAGATTTTTTGGTCAAGTTTATCTATTTTAACGCTTTAACTGAAGGAATTCCGTGTAGTCAATCTTTGAGTGTTGAAAGTCGAGCCAAAAATGTGAACTCTTTTTTTTAAACTGACACGAAAGTGTTAGTTATCAATTTGTACTAAACAGGTAACTCAGATTTCAATAAAATTTTTTAATTTTTCCAGACATTCAAAGAGATGATATCGGCCACCGCAGATTTCAGACCAGCGCATGAGCTGCAGAGAATTGCCCCGAAGACCGAGCCCAGCGTTCGCTACGTTTACGACAACGACGCATACATCAATGGCGACGTTAAGGTGATGATCGAGTCCCCTTGGCAACTTATCCCCTAAATTGTTTTAAGAATTGAAAAAGTTATTATTATTTAAATTTCCACTAAACTTTAATTTCAGGATATATTTACTGCAAACCCTCCATGTTGTTTCCGCCGCATTGAAGTAGTTTTTTTTTTAATGTTTTTTGTCTTTTTGGAATTTAATTTTATACACTGTGAGCCTGTTGGGCTTTAATTTTGATACTATTAGTCATTATGCTAGATCTGCTGTGATAATCTGTTAGAAATCTTATAATTGAAACCATTTTTTCCTATTTTTATGCATAAATATGACCAAACCAAACGAAGATTTGATTCTGACCTTTGCCGATTGCAAATGAACGAATCCTTTGGTTATAAAAAATTCACGAAACAATACATGATCTCTAAGAATCAATATAGCTTTCAACGAAACAAAATTGTACGATCTGTGAGGTAATTTCCATCCTTTTTCAGATTGAGACCAGCCCCGTAACCTAGGAAGTGACTACACTGATGGTTCCTGCAGCTTACACCTTCGGCTGGGTGCCACTCTTTGGTTATATTTACCTAATATGTATTATGATGCACGACTCGACCTCGGTTGGGTGCCAGTCTCTGGTTATTTCTACCTAATATGTATTATGATGCACAACTCGACCTTGGCTGGGTGCCAGTCTCTGTTTGTGTCTACATCATATGTATTATGATGCACAACTCGACCTCGGATGGGTGCCAGTCTCTGGTTGTGTCTACATNTACATTATTTGTATTATGATGTTCAACTTGATATGGGTTCGACAATCAACCGCAAATGATAGGATTGATTAGCTGTCTCTGATATTATTTATTAGCGGCCTCTTATATGATTGATCAGCTACCTCGTATATGATTCATCAGCTGCCTCTGATATGAATGATCACTGCCTCTGATGCAATTGATCTGCTGCCCCAGATATGATTCATCAGATGAATTTACTACGATGGATCAGATGCCTGTGATATGATTCTTCGGATGCCTCAAATACTATGCAGTGAATCAATCGCCTCCAATATTTTGAATTTCTTTCGATTTTGAATTTGAATTTTCTTTCATTTCCACCAAATCCGAATAATTTTTGTAAGCAAAGCAAATTGTGGTTCCTGAAAAGGTGTGGCTTTTTTCCATTTTTACGGTAATGAATTTGCATAATGAGCTTCATTCAGAAGAAGGAATGGTTTTGAAACAACGTTTGTCTCCAATCAAAATGATGCGACTTGTCAAAAAAATATAAATATACGTTATGAGTTGTTGGGAGTAACCAATAACAACGTTTCAAATTTTTAAGGTTTGAAGGTAAAGCTCGAAGGCTATAATTATGGAGATAAAGTTATATTTTGAAAGAAAAATTCGAAGTTTCTCGGTTTAACTGTCATCCTGGATTAAAGGTAAAGTTAGAATTTCTATGCTCTAATGGGCATCCTCATCACATCACATTTATACCTTCATCGCAAGAAATTTTGCCTTCCTTTTTTAAACCATCTTAAAGAACTACAGACTCCATTGACACCAGATAATTTATCTACAACCAAGCTTGCAACGCTACAAGCTTAAGAATTTTTAAATTTATTTCAATTATTTCGAAATTTCAAAATTCTTTACCATCCGAAAAAATAAAATTGAAGTCGTATCCTAGAGTAGCTTCATTGATTTACGACTTCTCATTAAACGTGGGTTTGAATCTTGACATTTGACGTTTTTTTCAGAACAAATTGAATTGATGTTTTTTAATTTTTATTTTATTAACTAATATCCTCTGAACTCGCGGGCTCTTCGTTTTGAATTGAAAAACCCACCCACAATAAGTGTTGTTATATGGCATATTTTGCAAATTTCAGCGATAGCGCTGAAATATATCACTGAAATTCTAATTCTCGTTTCCAGAAACACAATTATTTATTGAACCGAAAAAGCCCGTTCCATGTGTTCAACGGAAATCTTGACTCTTTTTCAGATTGTTAATCATAGTATAATTACAAGTGTAATATATATTTATGGTCTACTTATGCGTGTTATTTTAACGTCCCTGAAAATGTTAATTGTGTTCGTTGTGTCTAATCGGTGTTAATTAGTTAGTATTTTATTAATGGTATATAACAGTACAAGCTCTAATTTTCTTCACAATGCTTGCTTTGGAAGTTGTAAACTATTATTTGAGATTTTCAAGTTCAATCTAGAATTTTTATGATTTAAAAGTTATGTACTTGCATTACATATAATAGCAACTTTCTATTTGAAATTTTCCAAGTTCAATCTAGAATTTGTATGATCCAAAAATTATTGTATTGTATATAATAACATAATTTTAAAATCATAAAAATTCTAGATTGAACTTGGAAAATTTCAAATAAGAGTCTATAACTTCCCAAGCAAGCATTGCGAAGAAAATTGGAGCGTGTACTATTATATGCCAGAAATAAAATCCTAATTGACTAACTACGATTCTACACAACGAACACAATTAGCATTTTAAGGGAATTTAAATCTGGCATTATACTGTAAATAATCTGTAATTATACTGCAAAGAAATTATACTGTAATAAATCTGGCATTATACCGCGTAACGAATCTGGAATTATACTGTAACAAATCTGGAATTATACTGTTACGAAACTGGAATTAAACTGTAATAAATCTGGAATTATACTGTAATGAATCTGGCATTACACTGTTACGAATCTGGAATTATACTGTAACGAATCTGGAATTATACTGTTACGAATCTGGGATTAAACTGTGACAAATCTGGCATTATACTGTAACAAATCTAGAATTATACTGTAAATAAAGCTAATGCGTGACCATTCAAATTATGTTGTCTGGATGTAAGTGATCGCTTAAACTGTGAGTGAAGATTGTGTGAATGGATAATGGTTAGCTGGGAATTCGTGATAGCAAAGGCCTGAGCTCAAATGTAGGTTAGATAAACTATTATTGACGATGTCGCTTTGTTTTATTTTTCCTAATAAAAGAAATTACTCGTTTTTTGCTTTCGGATGAGAGAACTTTTCCTGTACACTTTTCACAGCGATGTCTGACCGCGGGTCTTAGTTGTGGGGGTTAAGTTGTTATTTGAATAGGCTGGCTTCTCTACGCTTCTCTTACCTTGCTTCTGGCCGGCGTACCTTGCAATAAAAATTAAAAGCAAAGAAAATTCCACATAACTTACCATATTATTATAGAAAACGTTTCGGAGTCCAGATCCATCGTCAGTTCTAAAATTCTAGAACACAGATACAATAATCCGCAGTTAGTCCAGTCGAAATAGAAAAAATGCAACTTAGTACTCACTGCAGTGAGTGACAGAGAGCGCATTTATCCGTCGACGAAAATGTGAAGTCACGGACAGACGGACGGACGGACATGACGAGCACAATGCGCTAAAAACACAAATTTACAAACAAAAACGAAGCAAAAAAAAGCAAAATCTATCTATTTACAATTTTAATTGAATAAAAGCTAAAGGCAGCATTCAAACTAATTGCCTCTGCTTGAAAATATGCAATGATGATGATTTGTAGAACTCCTAGAATTTGTACGAATAATTTCAAGGAATAAATAAAAATCTAAATTTGATGCAGTGGAGGACCTTCTGATGGAAGGTGTGATCGTTAACTGAAAATTGCTTAGGGGAACAATAAAATAAAATAACCAAAATAAAATAAACAAGGAATTCCTTCTGTATTTCAAGAGTCAGCGGAGATTTTCACTGAGTTAGAGAGGAATAATCCCAAATCAATATCGGCCTTATTTAATCTGCTACGATCGATCTAAATGAATGTTGTTTAAGACGCACTTGAACGAGCAAGTGTTTGTGCTTGAATGGGGCAATATTTGCATAGAAATGTAAGGCGACGACTCGTCAACATACGGAGAAGTCGTGAATGTTTAAAAACGGGAACTTTCCAAACTCAGTTTGGTGATATTTATTTGCAGAGACTTCACAGACTATGAATACACCAATTTGTTTTTAATTAAAAGACTAGTAACCTTCCTAACATTAAGATATGAAATTTTTATCTAAGTATAGATCACATTTGAAAAATTTGTTATTTAATCTTTATTATTTTAAAAATTCTGCCTTCATGATTCAAAAGGAATTTATGTAAAAAGTTCACTAGCAACACAAATCTTTACGTGGGCACGTTTCATCATAAGACCCGATATATTGACATGAATGTGCATACCTTGAGTATCCTGGGTTTGCTATTCGTAAGCTGGCGTGGACGAGACTGGTCTTGAATATTGATGAAATCTGAACAGATTTCTGAGAAGCGACACCGCCTGTGTATGTCACCATTGAAGAATTAATTCCCCCTCCAATTATTGGTTCTCCGATTTAAAGAATTTTCCTACAAATATTTTACTTGCTCTTTAAAGCTAAATTTTAGCTTATAATAAAATATGTTATGCGCCAATTAGCATTAAATCATGTTCCTTTCGTTCATAGCACTGATTATCATTTACCAATAGCATTGAAGAAATATACATGCTCGATAAATGACCGTTTCGCAAGACGAAACTAAATTCATGAATATAGTTTATAATGAAGATCAAACTTTTATTTCTGACCAATGCATGGAATAAAGTACATGCAAGCGTGAAGCCTCATTTTTGGGTAACAAATGTAAAGTAATTATGAGCTATTAACGAAAAATATCGCATATTTTATTGAAAATTCAGTTTCATGGAAGATTTTAACGGGTTGATTCTTCATAAAAATCATAAGAAGTTCACGACATTAAAATTACCTCAGTGTTTACTTGTTTTCCTTTCAAATAATTTTCCTGCTGAATTTTATGTTTCTCATAAGTTCCTCGTAATTGCATAAAATACTTAGGTTCCTATTTAATTTAGCTGCATAGGTTCAACAGGAAAATTTAAAAATATCCTCGTCGCGTCGTTGCATTCAAATATCTCGGCTTATAAATATCCTGTTTGCATGCGATGGCCTCGGCGCTTTCGTTATATTTCGGTGCGAATGACGCGCTCAGGTGCCGTCATGATTTCATAAATAAACTGGTTAGAACTTGAAGGTACGTTCTAATAACATGTTAATTTAGCTGCATAGGTTCAACAGGAAAATTTAAAAATATCCTCATCTCGTTGTTGCATTCAAATCTCTCGGCTTATAAATATCCTGTTTGCATGTGATGGCCTCGGCACTTTCGTTATCCCAGTGAAAATTTACAGGCGGCAGCTTCTCATTTGGATTACCAGAAGCTGGGGCGACTCTAAATTTTGTTAGGGATTTCGGTGCGAATGACGCGCTCAGGTGCCGTCATGATTTCATAAATAAACTGGTTAGAACTTGAAGGTACGTTCTAATAACATGTGTCTGGCATACACAATACAACACAGGACACGTAAATGAAGGTTTTGTTGTGCAAGGGGAAAGTTTTGATACGGAGAATCACTCCAAATTTAGTATAAGATTAGTAATTAAAGAAGAGAAACCATTTCAATTATCACAACTTTTGACATAATAAGATATTCAATTATCAAACATGCATTTCAACCTAACTCAATTGTTTAAAAATTATTTTAATCAGGTTGATTGGTGCCTGAAATGACGATTTTTGCCTGAAAATATACACTTCGTAACAATTTTGGTGTCCACCATCAACATAAACTTGATACGAAAAGAAGGCCATCTTCGCTGGTAAGATGAGATTTGACCTCTGATTTCAATAAATTTCTAGACATAACATAATTGGAAACCAACATCTAGAATAAAATTTTATCTTCTATTTTTATCTACTTGTGCCGTGAGCAAAATTCTACAAATCTGACGACCAAGTTTTAGAATAAAGAAATAAGGTATCGTTTGAAAATTCAAGATCATGTTAATTTCAAGGGCTTTAATTGCAGTTAGATGTTGATAAGAAATTACTCAAATTTCTTAAACACCATTTTCGAAAAACTTCTCGTGTGTTTAAACTACCAAATCAAATGACAATGTGCATTTTATTCTTAACCACGCAAAATGACGTTTATTTTATTAGCCGTATATATAAATGAATTCATACTAAACCAGTAATCTAACAGATAAAAATATAAATGCGCAGATTAGTAAAAACTTAGTACGGTAATTAAGTGAGCTCGATATGTATATGCTGACACACCCACGGAAATGTGGTCTGTTCACTGGTGTCAAGTTCACTCATTTTTAAGTTGGAGACATGAAAAAAATTTCCGTGTAGTCTCTCATTCTCGTCAGATTCTTATTGGTCGCACACTCACATTTTATGCAAATCTTTCGTGGAATCAGAATAAAAAGATTGGGCAATTCTGTGCTTCGTTAAATATTTCCTCCTATTCGAGTTTGATGCTAATACCGATTTAGATTTTATGTCCATAACCTTGCATGTCATTGACAGAATCACCGATGGAATTAAAATTGCTTACAGTTACTCAGTTGACGTCGTGTGGCTTGGTGGGCAACCTGTGCAGTCTTGTCCATGGCTAACATGGTGTTAGGAAGCATCATAATCTACGTTCCGTTATGGTCGAACTTATCACAATTTTCCTCTAACGATATTTAGGCTTCGATTTAACCAGTGCTTCTTAATGTTTCATCTATCACCTTATCATCAAAAAATCACTTTGAAATTGATCGCCTAGAAATTGAGTGCTCTTCATTTAGTTAAAACAATTAATAGGAAAGTATATACTTGATGTTGTGCTTCTGAAAATGAATACTAACCTCGGTCAAAATTCCGATAAAAATATTCCTCTGTAATATTTTGTTTGCTAAAATAAAAAAGGAGTTATAACACGAATAAATAATAGTATTGTGTTAATGATTTTCAATAATTTCTCAACCAAATTGCGAACTTCATACTGTTATAACAAAATATTTTTTTAATATATTTATTTCAGTTATCACCTGTAAACTTGACACACCATAAAATTACCTTCAAAATACCGTCCATTAAAATCTTCATCTCCAATTGTTATCGCCGGATAATTTGTCGCTTAAATTCGCGGCGATCAAGAAATTTCTTCTAAACTACTGAACAGATTTCAACGAAACTTTGTATATAAATACCCAACCTCTCAACGGTGATGTTTAGCTCGCAACAATTTTTCTATTTTGCTTTCGTTCGCGAGTTATAGAGATATAGGAGGAACGACCGGCTTTTCTACCGGCTGGTTTAACCAAGAGCCGTTTATGTTTATCCGTATACGTATAGCCGTATAACTCGCAAACGATGCAAAACGAAAAAATTGTAGCGAGCTAAACATCACCGTTGCTGAGGTTAGGTATTTAAATACTAAGTTTCGTTCAAATCCATTCAGTAGTTTTGGAAGGATTTTCTCGATTACTGCGAATTTAAGCACATATTGCTGTTTAAATCACGAATGAAGGTGAAATGGAAAAAAAAACGCAAACAAAGGCACAATCGAATAAATTTTTATGAGCTAAACATTAACGTTCGGTAGTTAGGACTGTAAATTCAAAATAACGTTCGAATCTGCTCAATAGTTTGGAAAAAAATTCTTGATTACCCGGTACTGTGAATTTCGGCCCGTATTGACATATAACTATGGCAAAAACAAATGAAGGCAAAATTAAAAAAAAATCACGAGCTTAACATTACCGTTAGGTCCTAATGAATACGTGTACCAAGTTTCATCGAGTTAAGTTCATTAGTTTGAGAGATATTACTTGAACATTGAATTGGAAATTGGCCGTGAGACCGGCTTTTGATCGAGTCCGGCCGTTAATTTGTCCGAGACGTAAACCCAGGAGAGGTTAAAAAAGCAGATCTGGGTGGAAAAAACCATCGCTGGGTGTCCTGATGTGCTGCACGTGTTGTGTACTAATCGTCAAACAAACGTTCGAACTACTGACTTCGACTTCAGACTACCGCCCCCCTATCGCCCCCAAACGCCCTCTTATTCCTTACCGCCCCCAAAATCTTTCCACCGCCCATAGGGGGGCGATATCGCCCACTTTGGGAACCACTGTTCTAGTGGATGAGTGCCTCATGCAGCAGATCAAACCTACACACATAAAAACAACACAAAAAAAAAACTTTACAGCCGTCACAAAGCACAAATAGGACACTTAACGTCAACAGACTATGCAGGAAACCTGCCATCCTTAGCAAATAATAAAGCAAAACTAGATCAAGACAAGCCTCTGTACGACCCTACACCCTCAGTAGCAAGACTCTTGCCTACCGTAGCCAAGGGAAATGTAATAATAGACCGAAGCGACGAATAACAATTAAATAATTTTTATTCGTACCCTGCCTCGGTACGAATAATCCCCATCAATTATTATATAGATGGGATAATAATCCCCATCAATAAATAATCCCCATCAATAAATAATCCCCATCAATTATTTAAACGCTTCATGCAGCCCAGCAAAACTCCCCAGACCCTACCATCGTTTGGTACATCGACGAACTAAGAGAAGGATTATATCATTTATAATCCTTATGTTCGCCGATGTACCAGGAAAAGTTTATAAGTCCTTGGACGACAAGTATTAGTCTCTTTATAGTATATATAGACTAATACTATTTCGACGAAGGATTTAAACTCTTCCTGAGTACTTAACTACTAATATGTGTTGTAACTAAAGTTACAAAACCATAACCCACAAGGCGTCTGACAAAAAAATCTACGTGTTTTAAGCGTTTAAACTTTGAGTTTACGTCAATTGAATATTTGTGTAACGCTTATATATTTGTCAGAGGAGAAGGCAACAGAACCTTTCACGCCCCTTAAAACAAGCCGCAATGTCAATGAACCTCTAAAATTAATACGCATTTAAACACATTACGTCACTATGAACTCTTTGGATTCACTAAAAAAGCTACAACACAGTTTACGCCAGAGCGCCACGAAAAATTTACCCTAGCAAACATTGATGACAACACAGATAGTTCTACACGACGGGACCCAAACTAAGGAAACCGTTTCCACTTACATTTAATATACAGATTTTTCATGAATGAGTCATTTATGTAAGTTGCCATTTATGCAAGTTGTCATTTATGCAAGTTGTCAGATATGTAAGTTGTTATCGTGTTATTAGTCGTAATTTAGGTCGACATAATTATCTTGTTCCAAAATGGTCTTGGCAATAGTACTGGTTTCAAAATTGGTCCCCATAAATTAAGTCTTGGTATTCCCTAAAGTGTCACTTGCATGCAACTCATAGGATAGATAAATTATAAATATTTTTGATAAAATGACTCGTCGAAAAGATAAATTCAATGTTAATGACGAGAATGGCCAAGCTATGGAGGTAGGAAATGGAGAAGAAGCCAATGTTGATCCCGACAACCGCGGCCAGTGGAGCAATCAATGCGAGTTTTTCCTGTCATGCCTCGCATACTCAGTAGGTTTTGGCAACATCTGGCGCTTCCCTTACTTGTGTTACAAGAACGGTGGAGGTGAGTATGCATTGAACGTGATTACTAAAGTAACAAGTTAACAATAAATTTTGAACAATTTAATTGAAAAATTTAGCCCCTAGCTTGTGTTTACTTAGAGTCGAATAAGGGCTATAGGTGAGCCCTCAGACAGCTAATACCTTGTTGTAAAAAATATAGCTCAGTACTCACTGCAGTGAGTGACAGAGGGCGCATTTTCTCGTCGAAGAAAACGTGAAGTCACGGACGGACAGACGGACGACGGACGGATGGATGGATGGACATGGCGAGCACAATAATGCATTTTTTCCATAAATGAGAAATTGCGCTAAAAATCAAAATTAAAGATATTTTCATCGCTCCCTGCAGCGGCGTTTCTGATCCCGTTCACCATCATGCTCCTCGTAGCTGGGATACCGCTTTTCTTCATGGAAGTCGCGCTCGGACAATACGTCAGCCTGGGTCCTAATATACTCTTCCCCAAACTCTGCCCTCTAACTGGTGGTGAGTTCCTGATACCATACACCATCATGCTCCTCGTAGCTGGGATACCGCTTTTCTTCATGGAACTCGCGCTCGGACAATATGTCAGCCTGGGTCCTAATATACTCTTCCCCAAACTCTGCCCTCTAACTGGTGGTGAGTATTGCATTAATACATTAATAATATTCTAGATTCAAATTGTATTTTCCAATCTGGTCATAATTACAGCAGCATAAGTACATGAAATAACTATTAAATTGGTTATTTTTCGACAGAATATTTAATATATAATAAATTCCAAATTGCATTGCTACGAATTTATTTATACTTGTTGATATGCGCACTTTATACAAATTTTAATACTAAATACCTCAAAGAAATTGTTACTGTATTATATTATTGAGTTTCAGTGCTCGAGAATATTTCAAAAAGCTTGGTTTAAATAGCAGAAAAAGATGAAACTTTTATCTTTTATTGCGGATTATGTAGATATTGAACCGGTGCCTCTACTTCTAAATGAGGGTCGATTCATGATAGCCTGTTAAATCAAACTTCCATCATGAAGTCCTTAACATAAATCATGATTAGTGCGCTTTAATATTGCCATGACCGTATTATAAAAATAAACGACATTATGTTCCAGAAAACCATCATTAGTTGAACTAGATATTTTTGTGTTTATCCACATTCAATATGTTTTCTTTACTTATTATCACAGGCTGTTACACGTTTGAAGAAAACGCATTGTGCCGTGACGCTTCAATGTATTACTACGCTGGAGAGTGTCACAACACGGACACTTTTTGTGGTATCGACTCCCTGGAAGCCGTTAATTCGACGCATTGCCTCACGGCGAACAACATCTCCATCAGGGCCGAGCTCGCAGTCAAGAGATATTCCGCAGCTGAGGATTACTACAGGTGATAAGTGAAGAATTCGTGATAATCCGTGCTCTTTCTCCCTAGTCTCGTAGATTCGCAGTTTCCCTACCGTGAGTACGTATGACTGCGAACTAAGAAATATGCCGTATTACTTAAAACATTATGTATTGAAATACATAGTCGTTCAAGTTCAGAATGAATAGAATGGAAAATGAAGCAATTTTTAATAGCCTCATAGAATCACTGTTTCGATTCAATTCAATTCCGAACGAATTGAACAAAAGGTAAATAAGCGCTTGCTCAAACCGGTCTGAGTAACTAATAATATGCTTTTAAAAATTACTTTTTAAAGACAACACTTCTGAACAATCCAGTGTCTTGTATGTTACACATGTACAATGAATTTCTAATTTTATTTTCAAATATTTAAAAGAAAAATTATTTTTCAACATTTTTTAAGGTATCAAAATTTTGTAAATTTTCAAAATTATTTATTCTGTCAATTGATTCATGCATTGTCTCTGACTTTGCAATTTTGCAAAATTTCAGATCAATTGGACAGTTCAAATTGTGTCATATATGGATTATAAGATTTGTAGCAGGCGAAATTATTTTTTAATTCTTTTTAATAATGAAAAAAATTTTAATTTATAAAATTATTTATTCTGTCAATTGAATCATGCATTGTCTCCAACTTTACGCAAGTTTGCCAAATTTCAGATCGATTGAACAGGTAGAAGTGTGTTAAATATCGATTATAAGATTCGTAGCAGACAGACAAACAAACAAACAAGAAGTGAAGTTAAAGAGAAGTCTTGTAAGAAAGTTACTTAGCTTATTACTATAATCTTAAACTGAACACAAACGATTTCTTCTAGTTAAGGCGATCAAACGATAGGAGACATATATATTATGCCCTAGAATAAATAAAAAATTACTGGGCATATTACTATAGTCTTCAACTGAACACAAGCAATTTCTGCTTCTGAACACGATCAAACGATGGAGACTTATTAAATATATAAAATGTTCTACCTTAGAATATAAAAAAGTTACTGAGCTTATTACTATAATCTTAAACTGAACATGAGCGGTATTTTCTAGTTAACGCGATCAAACGATAGGAGACTTAAATATAATATACCTTAGAATAAATAAAAAATTACTGGGCATTCTACTATAGTCTTGTACTGAACACAAACAATTTCTGCTTGTGAACACGATCAAACGATAGGAGACTTATGTATATTATAACTTAGAATATAAAAAAAGTTACTGAGCTTATTACTATAATCTTAGACTGAACACAAAAGATTTCTTCTAGTTAACGCGATTCAACAATAGGAGACTTAAATATATTATACCTTAGAATAAATAAAAAATTACTGGGCATATTACTATAATCTTGAACTGAACACAAGCAATTTCTGCTTGTGAACACGATCAAATGATGGGAGACTTAAACATATTATACTTTATAATCTAAAAAAAGTTACTGAGCTTATTACTATAATCTTGAACTGAACACAAGCGATATCTTCTAGTTAATGCGATCAATTGATAGCAGACTTATATATTTACAACCTAGAATAAATAAAAAATTACCGGGCATATTACTATAGTCTTGAACTGAACACAAGAAATTTCTGCTTGTGAACTCGGTCAAGCGATAGGAGACTTAAATATATTATACCCTATAATATAAAAAAAGTTACTGAGCTTATTACTATAATCCTAAACTGAACACAAACAATATCTTCTAATTAACGCGATCAAACGATAGGAGATTTAAATATATTACACCCTAGAATAAATAGATACTTACTGGGCATATTACTAAAGTCTTGAACTGAACACAAGCAATTTCTGCTTGTGAACACGATCAAACGATAGCAGACTTAAATATATTATACCTTAGAATATAAAATAATATTCGTTTAAAAATTACTTTTAAAGACAACGCTTCTGAATAATCCGGTGTCTTGGATGTTACACATGTACAATGAATTTCTAATTTTATTTTAAAATATTGAAAAAAAAAATTATTTTTCAAAATTTTTTAAGATATCAAAATTTTGTAAATTTTCAAAATTATTTATTATGTCAATTGATTCATGCATTGTCTCTGACTTTATGCAATTGTGCAAAATTTCAGATCAATTGGACAGGTCAAATTGTGTCATATATGGATTATAAGATTTGTAGCAGGCGAAATTATTTTTTAATTTTTTTTAATAATGAAAAAAAAATTATAAGTTACAAAATTATTTATTCTGTAAATTGATTCATGCATTGTCTCCAACTTTACGCGAGTGTGCAAAATTTCAGATCGATTGGACAGGTAGAAGTGTGTTAAATATCGATTATAAGATTTGTAGCAGACAGACAGACAGACAAACAAACAAGAAGTGAAGTTAAAGAGAAGTCTTGTAAAAAAATCTATAATATTCGCGGATAGAAGTTTTGAAGGCGCATCCTGTTAATAATTGTTAATATTTTTTACATCATATGATCAGATTTTTAATCATGGACTCAGTTGTAATCAGTTGTAAGAAGTCGTCAAAGAAGTTCACACAGATATTTCAATCGTGAAATGAGAAACTATTGCCAACTTTTCTTCTATTAGATGAGCAATCATGAGAAAGTAGGTTTATTATTTTCAGAAATCGAATGCTCGGCATCAACGGAAGGTCATGGTCGGACCTGGGAAGTATCCGATGGGAGTTAGTTGGCTGCTTGGCTTTGGCTTGGATCGCAGTGGCCGCTTGCCTCATTAAAGGAGTGAAGAGCTCTGGTAAAGTCGTGTACTTCACGGCAATCTTCCCCTATGTGGTCTTGGTAATCCTGTTCGTGAGAGGTGAGGTAAACTTATCAAATAATTTTGTAACAGATTAGATTAATTAATTTCCCGAAGTTAGTGCAGTAGCTAGGTGTACCAACAGTGATTTTAAACTGCTGCTTAGTGGTAAACAATGAACAAGTTCATAAAATGCAAAATTCTAAATAATTTTGATACAACAAATTAAACTTAAAATGTACTTGAATTTTTTCACCGAGCCAATTTTTTTTGTGATCGCACGCAAGTTGATTTGAACATTAACGATTACTGGACAGGCGTATACCGTGTTAAGATTTCACCGAAAACGAAATCTCAATACACGATAAATATATTTCCACCAAAAATAGAGCATAAAGCCCAATTTAAGTTTTCAACTTCAGTTCCTGACTCAATCTTTGCTCTTGTTATTGCTCGCAAAACGTGGCATTATTATAAATAAATGTTATTATGTCCTAAAATTTCAAAATCGGTAATTTTTATCAGAGCGTGCGGGTAGGAAAGATATAGCAATGAAGCCATGCAAGATTTTTGAATAAGGATAATTGATATTGAAAATATCATGATATTGAAGCAAGTGAATGTAGTGTATAGGTTGACTAAGCCAAGTTGATTTAGCGTGAGACTAGATCTTCCAATTTAGAGGGTTATAAAATGCGTAGAGCCCGTGCGAAACTGATGATAACAAAGTGGTACGTAGAAGTAATGTTTGATATGAATCGGACAAAAAATCATCTTCGTTTAATTGTATTAACTGAAAATTGTTCGAAAATGTACGCTCAAATAATTTTTTGGTTAACTGTAATTTCCTTAAGATGAGTGACAATTTGTAATAGTTGTCGCTCGAATATACTTGGGCAATATGAATAAATTTATGCGCATGTTGAGTAACAAGTTTGATGAATAAAATTTTGTTGATACATATAAATGAAATCTTTCCAAATTTGATAATCTATTGTAATTGAACTCTCAATGAAAAAGATCATTTTCCAGGTATCACACTCGAGGGAGCTTACAAAGGAATAGAATTCTATATTCTGAAGCCGAACATGAGCAGGCTGATGGAAGCGGAAGTTTGGAACGACGCAGCTGCCCAAATCTTCTTCTCTTTATCAACGGCTTTTGGTGGTCTCATCGTTTTGGCTTCGTACAACGGATTTAAAGTCAATTGCATGAGGTTAGCAGGAGAAAATTTTCTCATAATATGTAAATTGTAACCATGCTTACCGCTTACATAATATAATACATGATGACATTCAAACACATAATCGGTTGAAAATTTAGTAAATGAAAGGATTTGAGAACTCATTTTAGCCTACTCTAAGTCGAAATTTCAGGGGCATATCATTCTATGATTAATGCAGCGTTTAAAAGGGCGGCTGAATGTTGAGCTCAAAGTTTTTGTATGTGAGCCGGTGTACCAAACTTTGTCGGGAGCTTCATCTGTCTGGAGGTGTCGTTAAGCTATCGAATGAGGGTGAGTTTTGTTAATTTTTTTTTGGAATAGTTTAGAGTTGACGGAGGTTGTGCTTAAATCTGATATAAAATATAGGGGAGAAGAAAAAGAGCTCTTTACTGTTTATTGTTTGATAGTTATCACTAACCCACTAACCATGCGGGCTGATTTTCTGGAATCTAGAACGATGATTCCAATTCTGGAATGACGATTCCAGAACAGTTTGTTTCATCCAACAAATGCATAAAATAGTGAGATATTGAATATTATGTGCCTAAATTTCGTAATTATACTATCATTGTACATGAAGAACTGCATGCATCAAAACTCAAGAGATGTCTAAAGAAACTACCCTAACAAAATTTGGGGACCACCTAGGCTTCGGCCGAATAGTCACTACACCCCGCGCCTGCGCAAAGTTTTTCTGGGTATGCGTGGCCACCCGATCAAAATCAGTTTGCGGTCAGAATCTCCTACCCGACTTTATAGTCGCCTAAGAAAATGACAAGGGTTGTCCGAGCCGAGTCGTATCGAGCTAACCAGCTGCCCAGAGGCTGCCTGTCGAACCCTGAGCCGAAGCGGACACAGAGAAGCTGATTTACGTGCTCCCAGAGTCCTGGGCGGCCAAAATACAGGATCGCACACGTCTCTAAATTTTGTTAGGCTATTTCGTTACATTTATTTATATTAATGTGCAACTGTTGAATATGTGTAATTAAATGTGTATCTATTGAAGTTAGAACAGCCTAGGGCATCAAATGAATTCAAAATGGTAAAATAAGGTCACTTATATTCCACCGCTGATAAAAGAAGTGTGAAAAGTTCTGACCTTTCATTTTCAGAGATGCGATTGTGATTGCGATCAGCAACTGCGTGACGTCAGTGTTTGCTGGTTTTGTTATATTCAGTATTCTCGGCTTCATGGCAACGTCTGCTGGAGTCGAGGTAAGATTCGAGGCTGAACTCGGAGAATTGAGTGAGTCAATATGACTCATTCGGGCTAGTCGAAAATGCACGCATTTTCTGTTTGTCTTTCTGTCGGGCATTCGTTTCATAACTGACGATATTGGTTCAGAGTGGCATCATATAAGAAATGCATAATCGAGAAACTTGAATGAGTCATGAAAAAAGTAGTCAGTAATACTCATTTTATTTTTATTTATTTAGTTTGTTACCAGCCTAAAAATAATATAAATAGCGCCTGTTTATTTAATTGGCGATAAAGAAGTATTGGTTCATTTGTTAAAGGGACGACGCATGATATTCGGCGATCAGAGAATATTAAATTTGTAGTGAATTTATAGAATTGTAGCGGTGACAGCGTTGATAACGCTATTAGACCTGTCGCTGATCCTGAACATGTAGAATTTTCACAGCTTGTTGCGCGTCTCAACCATTCATCTCACTGCTCAAATTTAGCTTTTCTCTTAACCGCCCGGCCACCTCGCCGATTTTGACCAGAACTGTTGCATGGAAGCTGGGATCGAACCCACAACTCGATTCTTCAATCATTGTACACTAATCTTCAAACACTGAGCCACCCTGCATTTACCCTCTAGCTTTTTTTGTGCTCTGAACTGCAAACTGTGGTCCTTCCTGCATTTACCCTCTAGCTTTTCCTGACTCACTGACCTTCAGGTAACGGATGTGGTGTCGTCAGGGTCTGGTCTAGCGTTCATCGCATACCCTGCCGCCGTGACCATGATGCCTCTACCTCCACTTTGGTCATGCCTTTTCTTCGTCATGTTCGTCATTCTGGGACTCGACTCCCAGGTAAATTGTCTTCCGAACTTTCCGGGAGTAAACACATCATATCAAAAAATCTCTTCTTGAAGTACTTCCAAAATCCATACATCGGTTAAAGTGAATTCTGAAACTTCATTCCGAAAACTTTTTTAAAACAAGATATTGATTCAATTTCCGTGATGATTGCCGTAACTTGATTTTCTTTTCAGTTTTCGTTGGTTGAGACGCTAACATCAGCAATATATGATCAGTTTACGTCTCTACGAGAGCACAAGCCCCTCGTTATCAGCACCCTCAGCCTCTTCATGTTTGTCATCAGTATCGCCTTCTGTTTGGAGGGAGGATTGTATGTTTTCGAGCTCTTCAACTGGTACTCTGGATGGTTGTCCGTCATCATTTACGGAATTGTGGAACTATTCACAGTCACGTATATATACGGTAAGTCAAACGTCTGAATTGAAATAATTGTGTAGACTAATATTAATTTCATTATTGCGTCAATAAATATTCAACAGAAGTGATATCACACATCCTTTAGTGTCATGACTAATTATGCAAGCGAAATAATTCCAATAATCGTGCTGGTAGGATTTAATTTTGATCAATACGAAATCAATTGCTTGCGCATGATCAATACGACCGAAGCTATCGCAAATTAAAAAAACGAAATGTCACTGCCAGCTTTACCGTACCAAATTTGATCGCCCGATTATCGTTTGTGTAGAGCTTCAATGCAAGGCTATGCTTCTGAGGCGGTAATGATTTGCATCAATCTTTGTAATATCATCTAAGCATCATCTCGCAAAGTATACACACTAAAATCTACAGAATCCAGGATGATTCTGACTAAATCTTCCGACCTTTCCGTTTTTGCAGCATTTATCTGTGTCTTTAATCCCAAAATTTAAATATATATAAACCTGCCATCGTCTTCAATAACGCTTCATCGGACTTAACAACTTCACAGTTACTTGCATAGCGATTTAAATGTTTTAACTTCCATTAATGTATCAAACGCGATGATATCTTGCATTCCAGAAGTTAAATTTGTGTCGTTCTTTGGGACGTAATGGTGATTTGGCGCGTAATCCCGTATATACATAGTGATTCACGGAAATATCACGTTTTGTATTTTGAGCCAAACAGCCAGATATTGTAGGAAAAGGGCGGGAAGTATTTAACACAAAAGACAGGGTCATGAAGTTTTGTGCCCCGCCCAGTCAGTTGTCACTATGCATTGGACAAGTGAGTAGCGTGCGTTTGCTGTCGAGGCGTATTTTTCTAATGGCCGTTTTGCAGAGTTGTCTCCGTCTCAGGAAACATTTAGCAGAGCGTCTCATCTCTCTGAGAGGTGGCCTTCTTTGGCCGGCCCGATCCCCTGATTTAGCTCCGTGTGATTTCTTTATGGGTTGGTTTATCTTGAATCAAGTGTTTACAATAACTGTTCAAGGAACAGCGAACAACAAGGAACCTCATATGACGAACAACATAGCGAGTTGAATGTCAATATCATCTCTAAAACTAAGTGATACAAAATTTCAGGTAATGTCTCTTTCAATACAATTCATATTGTTATGATATCTTCAACAGTTTTTTATTGATCTTTGAAGTCAGGGAGTTTCCGTGAATCAATTTGTCATTTAGGTGTGTGTAACACTCCAACACATTATTTTGGTCCTCGATTTTTTTTACCTTTTCCAACTGCAGTTAACATATATACGCTTGAGTTTTTAAGCTGTTTACTAAAAATGTTAGTATGATAGTAAAGATAAATCATGGTGGTTTGAAGGTTAAAAACTGCTATATATATATATATCTAATCCAAATATGTCATGCTATTTAACTGCACATTTCCGGCTTGGATGTTGATTTTAAACTATGATACAACTGCATGCTTTGTCTGATTTCAGTAACTCCGATGCTCATACGAAGTAGATTCCCTAAGCAATGCCAAGATACATCTTTGCACGTAATCCCGTATTAATGAATCCATGATTGAGGATACCTCTAAATTTCATTTACTAAATGGATTTTATTTATTTATCATATTTTTGTCTCTATTATTGCAGGAATTGATCGCTTCATGAAAAACATCCGAGATGAGATGGAGATCTACATGCCAATGTTCCTGTATGTGTACTGGGCGGCCTCATGGGCTGTTTTATCTCCTATTGTGTTGATGGTTAGAAATTAACATTGTTAAGATACATTTTCTTGTCCTCCTGACACTTTTATTGGGATAAATATTTGAAACGCATGTTACTCGTACTCACAATAGCTCCATTTTTGCCCCATCTTTACTTTGCATAATTCTTTGACTCATCTAAACAGCTTAAGCAAAATTAAGCTCATTGGGTTGTAGAATGTATATTGTATATCTAAATTTTCTGCCGTATATAAAAATTTTCAATTGATCTCGATTAATTTTTAATTGCTGTCGAGTAATTTTTAATCGATGTTTAGTTTTTAAGTGATGTCGTGTTGGAGCGGCCGCAGGCAGGGCGCGGTACATTTACGACCTGTAGATGATTTGCAGGCTGTAGACTGGATATGGTGGCTGAAACCCAAGCTATCTTCTCCCGGATGTCATAGCGTAACTGGCATCACCAATTAACGTCATAAAAACCATAACCAATAAATAAAAAATAATGAATTGTGATGCTCAATTATCAGTCCTTGGTATATGTTAAGATACCTTGTTAAGAGGATTCGTTTTATTCAGACATGCTAAACACAACATTAAGCTAAAGATCCAATAAATGACTAAAATATTTTGTAATGTTTCAGACGGTGTTCTTCTTTGCGATTTACTCCTACATTCCAGCTTATTACGAAGACTACGTATATCCTCCCGTAGTGCAAGGTTGTGGATGGTTACTTGTGGTGCTGCCTTTACTCAGCCTCCCAGTGTCTGCTCTCTATGAGATATTCTATAATAAAAGAGTAAGTGGTAATTAACTTTGTCTAGGGAATAATAACGAATTGCTCATGCAATTAAATTAATTAATTAAATTAAATTTACTAATTAGTCTGTTTTTGATATTAAAAGTTCAAGTATGAAGAACTCTAAAATTTGAATTCTTTTACAATAAAAGTCTCAGGATAAGAATTTAACAAAAACGTATGAAGCATTTTTATTATTTTTTTTTGCGGTAGATTAATACCGTTCCTAATTTATTCTTTATACATGCATGGTAAATAGCTTTGTTCTTTTCCTTGTTTGTTAAAATAAATCTTCATACCTAATGTTTGCTTTAGGTAGAACAATTCCAGCCTTAGGATGGCATCGGGTGATCACTAAATCGTTCCCATGACGCGTTCCTCAATCGAGCGAGGCGAGGAGCAAGCGTTCGTCAGGTTTTCCTTCCATTTGATGCAATTTAAATTAACTGAATTGGTGGAAGCATTCTAAGAGATATATTCATATGTCATTGAATTTATTTAATTAGTAGTAATTAAAAAAGTATTCATTTAAGCAAAGTAACGTCGGGAAATAATAAATGCTCTCTACAATCAATACGTGTAAATAAGTCTACCAGCATCGAGCTGTCCTTGTCGTATACTTACGTATCACGTTCTCAATTGATACTTAATATAACATGAAAGATTATCATTAAATTCTATGATGTTAACCAAGAAAAAGCTCATAATTTACGGTCATTTGTCATGTGGACATTGCATTATTTTTAATAAATAATCATTATATTAGCAGATACAATGCCTTATATTATGAGTAAAGTCGATTTTGAATGTGAATGCACTAAATGTGGTATCCCAAAAATCGTTCAGATTAGCACGCGAAGCACGAAAAGCGTACCTAATGCAAGGGCACTGGTTTGATTTCAAGGAGAAAATGAAATGAAATGTCATATAAACTTATCGTTAAATTCGACTAAAATGTCCCTGTTCTATCGACAAGTCCATAATAACGAAAAAATTTATAGCTACTGATAACATGGTGGAATAATTTGATCTGTTTGAAAAGTTTGAAAATTTAGGCCGAGAAAATACCCAGCTACCATATGGGATATGACATGAGGAATGAGGATAGACAGTCAAACTTCCAATGCTTGTAGTAAATTTTTCCTGAAAGGCTGCAATAGCTGGCCACCGTCCAACCGCGTTCCTCCGCAGTAATGATGGCGGCAAGCGGCGTTGTGCCGACCAAGCCGCCACGCATCTCCAAAAACAATAAAGGTTTCAGTTGGTAGAAGCTCAACTGTATTCAATATTTGTAAGTTCTTATACTAAAAAAAGCTTCATTACTTCTGCACAGACATTCAAAGAGATGATATCGGCAACTGAAGATTTCAAACCAGCACATGAACTGCGGAGACGTGAGCCGAAGACCGAGCCAAGCATCCGCTACGTTTACGACAACGACGCCTACGCCAACGGCGAATGGTGATGATTTCTTCAGGCTCTCAATTTGCTTGGGCCCGTGGCCCTTTCTTCAATACGAAGCCTTGAATCGGTTACGACCTTTAACGATGATCATGATCTGGACTTGGTGATGATGATGGTGGTGGTGGTGATGATGATGATGGTGGTGGAGATGGTGGTGTTGGTGGTGGCGGTGATGGTGGTGATGATGATGATAGTGACGTTGCGGTGCCACTATAAGGAAGAGCGGAAAAGAAGATTCAAGAGGCGTCATAAAATGGTCAGAAAGAGGGAAGAGAGAATTGGAAGTCAGGTACCAGTGAAAAGTGTTACTTCACAGGCCACACCGGGACATGAGTTTTTTTGTGATGACATTTTCAACAATATTTCATATTGACGAAACGTGGAAAGAATTTTGTAGGCCTACTCAATTGGTAATTAGGCTTAAAATAAGATGCCATTTCTCAATTAGATGTGATTTCTATCTGTGTCTTTGATCGTGAATATGTACATCGTGTTTGATATGTTTGATCGTGAATATGTACGTGAATATGTACGTGAATATGTACGTGAATATGTACGTGAATAGTACATTGTCAGCGGACCTGGAATTAAAATTATATCTTCCGAACATTTCACCTTTAATTGACTAAATTTTAAGCAGATTGTTCAATTTCTTTCAAACAATATTTTGTGCATAGAAAAGCGTTTAATGCCTCTTTTTATAGAAGTCGATTTTTTTTCGTACAAGCAACAAAGCACATTTTCTTAGCTAAACGCATGCATAATTGAAATGCTAGCTACAGATATATAGATTGAGTTACAAATTAAAATCAAGTTATGATTTCGCAGTAATAAAAAGCTTCTGAAATTTAGTTACAAGAAATCAATCTCAATGAATATAAAATTCGCTAAAATCCACGAAACATACAGCAGGCAGTTGCAGCTGACGACACTGTGGTCACCCACGTCTTTTTTGTTGCTCTAAGTGAAAGGAAAAGCTGTATCTACTGAAAACATAATACGGTTCAGATTGCAAATTTATCCGAACATATAAGATATATGTATATCATTTGTGGTTGGTAGTTTATTTTAATGGAAAAGTAGCCTGAAATGAAATTCTTTACTGAAGCAATTCCATTCAGATCAACTGTACTTCTCATTCACTTGTACCGCAGGAATCTTCAGAAATTTTTTAAGAAGATTAGATATAAATCGAACTTTACCCACAGACTTTTACCTCCATATGATGTTGATTCTAAAACATTTTAATTTCCAAACCCTTCTTGCCTGGACAGTTTTAGGGTAATACTATCAGCCATTGTCTTCAATGGTAGAAATGTCATCGTATTTAAAGATAGTAAAGTTATAGGAACAGGTTTGCCTTAAAGTTCTGACATACAGTTTTGGTAACATATAATCGCTTGACAAATGTCGTCGTATCTTATTTTTATTTAAAAATTAAAAAAATTCAAAAAATTCAAACCAGTAAGACATGGTTGCTGTCAAGGTTAATAAATTAAATTTTTGAATGGGAAATAATTTACTTGCGCGAATTTTTGCCTCCTGAATCTCTTCTCTAAAATTCAATGTGTGTTTGAAGAAAAACAGTAAAATTTATTATATTATTTGCATGTAGTACACAGGGAGCATATGCATTCCTAATTGATATCGTTAGGAATATGTGTACGATTTCTTGATAAAACTTCAATAAAATTATGATTAGGAATTAATTTCGATTACAAATGATAGTTCACGCACACAAAGGAAATATTAACCGAGAACGGCGAATATTTGATCACAGTTCGTATTCGGTTAGCAAATACAGTCAATCTCTCGTCACGAGAGATCGTTCGACTGCTCAGCAAAGTAACAACGTCATTTGATTGTTTTCGGTAAACAAAATAGCCTGTCAGCCTTTTTTCACTCTGATAGAGGCACGTGCTATACTGTATGTTGTATTATATTATATGTTTACTTTTAAATCCAGAGTGCGGAGGCTTTTTGCATTTTACTCGTAGATTCGAAATCACCGTTAGTTCCACGCTAAATAATTAATCGGTTCAGCACAGATGCAGGTTTGTAAGGTACAGTTGGTGGCGCTGCTGCTGCTGTTGAGCTGCGGCATGTACAGTCACGGTAGCAAGATCCTCGTCATCGCGCCGCTTTCAAGCAAAAGCCACTGGCAATTTTTTGGCGAGATCATCAAAACCCTCGCCGACCATGGACACCAAGTGAGTATTATAAAATGTAATTAGGATCATAAGTATTACCAGCGTAAGCATGACGTTGAAACTAAAAATGTGCATTGTACAAAGCTAACTCCCTGGAGAACAGCATACCAGAAACCTATTTGAATTCAGGTACACAAGCTTCATAAAATTATAGTACAATCTATCTTAAAATAATAAATTTAACAACCTACATTATGCCATCCCACTCCATGGGTGGTTAGAATCGGGTTTCCATAAATTTGTTTTTGTTATCTCCCTTCCTCGCAAAACGTTTTGTGGCCGTACGTGCAATGACTTCACATTCAGTCGGTGACCAGAAAGTTCCCACCAATTTATTAATGAACTGATATAGCAAGAATATTTTTCTGTAATGCTGACTTGATAGGAATACGTACAAGTAATTATTTTATGAATGAATTACTCTTTCAAATGCATACAAAGCTTCACTTGTGAAGCGGCCTGTTGTAAGCGAAAGCCGAGGTAACTCAATAGCTAACCCTTTCCTATAGGGTTAGTTATCGAAAACTGGAAGAAAAATATCCGTTGCTGTCTGTCCAATCCAGATGAATACATGGTCATGATGTTGCGATTACTAATTCTGAACATGAGAGAGGTCGGGTTAATTATCGTGCTATCCTGCATCTAGTAAAAACGATTTGTAATGAACTTGCAAAAATTCTGTTTCATTCAATAAGGCGCAAGCTGAAAGCGAACTTGGTAAACAAAAAATTAAATCTACGGAAGAAGACTTTATCATGAACTCCTGCCGGTACAGGATGTCTTCGTTCATGAATCCCCAAAGCCTAGAGACTAACGTGTGCTCAAGAGCTAACTTGATGCCAGCAACCTTAATAAATTACTTCACACACGTATCATGAATAACCTAACCTATGGATACCTTATTCATGATTAATATAAACAGATATCATGACGATGACTAGTGAATTTTTTTATTTTTTAGCTTACCAATTTCGGCCGTTCTCTTCTCCCAAATAAAAAATATAAAGATCAACTGATGAGCAAGCGAAGCCCATGAATGGGTTGCTCACGACACGATCGCGTTGTACAGACTGACCTGGAATGCGTCTTTCCTGAACACCAATACTTAACATCTGAAATTAAATTCACAACCTTGCACCGATGAGGTCAACTTACATTTATTTCTAAAAAGTATTAACTTGCCTAAAACTGGGAATTTTTCAGGTAACGTCGCTGACGTCGATGCCGATGATCAGCCATGACAACGTCACCGAAATAGACATCGAGTTTGACATGAGCTCTCTCTTCCCGAACACATTCGAGAACCGCGGTTGGTGGGCGGGCATTAACATGATGAGTAAGGTACCCGGAATGTGTGCTGAAGCGTTGTCGAGGACAAAAGTGCATGATATTAAAATCGCAGAATACGACCTGGTATTCATCAGCCTCTTTGTCAATGACTGCTTCTTAGAACTTTTGGATAACACAGAAGTGAGTGTGGGTTGGGTAATGTCTATAGTAGTGGCGAAAATTTTGAGATCAGAGTAATTAATTTTGCCCGATTTCATTTTTGTAATCCTTTGATTCGAACTTGGTATTTTTACTCGGAAGGCAATGCACTATTCATGATTTTCTTCTTATTCCAGTCTATGTACATAAAATTTTCTGATATTTCATTAAAATTGGTGAATAAACAACTGCTAACAATGAATGGTGTCGATTATAGTTGTCGTCTAGTTTAGCCCTCGATCTTTGGCTAGGATATTCGTCTAGATCATGCTTGTATTGGGGTTGAAGGATTGAGGATTGTTATTTTTGTGGTTTACATTTTTTTCGAGGTCCATCGGCATGTGGGGATTTATCCCAACACGAGGAGATTAAAATTATCTTCTGGTGAAATAATTTAACAAGTTGTTGGAGTAAGAAATTCATATTCGCAGGTTCCAGTGATAAGCATGAACCCGAACACACTCTTCACCTACGCTCATGACCTCGTGGGAAATGTAGATTTTCCTTCTTTCGTACCCTTGATGGGGTTACCCATGAAGCATCCTATGACGTTCACACAACGCCTCCTGAATACCCTTGCCAATCTCTTCAGCTACGCAGTCACCAAATTATATTACCTTCCAAGGTGGGTGCCGACAGCCCATCTCTTTACGAAAAAAATTTGTTAAATTAACCAAAGTTTTTATTTTTTAACTTTCAATGCTTAAAGGTGCTCCCTTGGGCAGCTGCAATTTGGTGAAGACTTAATTCTCACTTTTATGGAATTAAAGCCCTCTTCCTTATATAAGCTAACTCTTAGTGGTAGTTTCTGTAGTGAAGAAATGAAGTAATTTCAGGCAAATTTTATGTTACAAAAACTAAAACTTACTTCAGGCTGATATATAATCCTCAATTTTATAGAAAATCCTAAAAGAAATTGATGAAATCACAAAACGTACTATATCGAGTATAAACAACAATGAGGCATCCAGAAACATCAATTTATTTATAATTTTGTTGGACCTTAAGCCAGAAAATATTTTGAAAATGTTGTGAAAGATCCCAGTTAAAATTTAGGGCAGGGAATAGAGCAGGCCGTCGCCGGCTGCAGAGCCGACGTAGAGACGCGACATAGCCGCGATAGAGCAGAAATGTCCGCTTTAGAGACGATATCGCCAGCCGCGTATCAGCGCTAATTAGCTGGCGCCACATCTGCAGTCCCCTGTCAAGGGAATGGCTTGGTGAGTGCTTCATATTCGACTGTTTACGCCCGCTACATATACAGTCTAGCAACGAAATTAATTCTTTCTATTCATTTTAATTTAACAGCTTGAGCTTGACTTATTCCCACTTGGCTGTTCAATCTTATTCACAAACAACAGTATTGAGACATTAAAATTTTAGTTCAGGACTGAATATGGATTAAATTTTTCGCTTTCATTATTCACTCTCAGTAATATGATTGGATTGGTCCCCCTTATTATGCTTTCAATCTTTTATGTGTCGAAATGATCATCATTTCATCTTTTAAGTCATTCTTTAATTTATTGGAGCACTCAGATATCCACGTTGTCTACGTAGACTTAGTGCTTATCAAATAATAGGGAGGCACTTCCTTATTGATGAAGCGTTCCATTAGCCGCTAATCGTGCAAAACCATTCCAAACTTTATAAATTTCGCAGTGATCTTATTCCGCAGGTACCAGATCTACAACGTGGACGTCTGGCTGTCCTTGATTGTGATCTCAATCGCGTGTCTCTATTTGGACATAAAAATAATAATTGCTCTGGTGAGACGATGCTGTTATAGGACCAAGACCACCGGTGACCTCAAGAAGAAAAAAGAGTAGCCTGTGGTTAACTTGGTAATAGAAAGGGGTCGCTAAACCAAATGTAAAGCTCAAGAAACTTCTATACCTAGAACAAGCCTTATAAAAAGTGAAGTAAAAGACTATTTTGAAAATCAAATGAAATTTCAACAAAATGTAACATGAGTTACGAATCCAATTTAAATGATATCTACTTTAAAATTTCATAGTTTTGCGACAATTTTAGAAGAGTAGACCTATTGAGGGCAGACCGATTCTCCTTTTTGAGTTCCGTACGCAGTTCAGCATTAAAGTACGTGGGCTCTTGGAATCCAAATATAAAATAAGAGTTTTACGCAATTACTCAAGCTGCGAGTGTTTATTTTAAGTGAAGACATTTTTGACTGAGAATATTGTATACAAAGCATTTATAATGTAAAAAATTACTAAATAAAATTTTCTCTGATTTTGTCAATGGTTCAATGATTCAATGCTTCCTTCAATGGATCAATACTTTCAGATGAATCAGGACTTCTGTGTGAGAATGCGAGCTGTGATATAGGTTTTTATAGCACAGGTGTCACTAAGAGAAGTACGTCGGAGAATTTACCTACATGCTCTAGCTTAATTCTAGCATAGATGCATTCACTGAGACAGCCACAATAAAATAAGCTCAGATCATCGCGTATTTATTAAAAATTCACTTATAGCCCAAGCGATCATGCAATCGTTGTAAGATTATCGCCTAGTTGTAGAAAATTTCCTCATTTATGGAAAAAAATTCACTATTGTGCTCGCCATGTCCGTCCGTCTGTCTATCCGTCTGTGACTTCACATTTTCGTCGACCAGAAAATGCGCTCTGTCACTCAGTGCAGTGAGTACTGAGTTATATTTTAAAAGGTTGAACGGCTGCAGAATAGAAGTGTTGACACAGAAGAAAGAGGCCCATAAACTAAGTTGAAATCAATTTGGGAGTCGTTTTACGATCTCAATTTTGGAAGTCGTACCACGAGCTCATATTGGACATTTTGTTTTACCAAAATAGTTCCTAATTTTTCGCATATCGTGTAAGCAGAAAAGAATTCATCTTGCACTCAATTTAACCAAAACTCCCTTCAAAAATAAGTAAGCAGTCCTTAATTGCTAGTAGATATATTGATACACTTGATAAGAGATGATAAAAGAAACAAACCAACATATACATCAAACTTTTCATATACATTAAACTTTGAGCAAAATGCAACAAGTGGTTCAGTGGCTCGTTCTGAAAAATCCAGAAAACTTCCTCTTTCCAACAATCTTGGCTGAATTAGTTCGCGGTAGGTTATTATTCCAATACATTATTTTTTGTGATCGACTTGTTGCTTCGCTACAAAAACCTGCTAAACATGTTCGCATAATCGAAATATCCAGCAGCGTTACCAACTGGTATATACCAGATTTCACAAATCAGGTATTTTCTGACGGTGTCTGGTATGAATATTTTAAATCTGGTATTTGTGCCTAAATCTGGTATTTTTCTGGTCTTTTTTTACTTACTGCATTAAGTTCCACCTCTGAAATTTGAACTTCCCCCCAGCGTAGGCATGGATTATATCGATTACCTTCAGAGCAGTGCGACTAGAGGTTTCCCACCATTTTTGGATCCGCGAGATTATCGCTTGATAAAATAACTCCAATCTAATTGTTAACATTCAACAAAAGAGCTTACTGCAGTATAAGCACGAGAGTGATAACTCTTGATTGATTACTGATCAGTGATGAAATGGCCTATGACGAGTAAGGTTGTCGAAACGATCTCTGCGACGCAAGCTCCACCGTTTCTGTTTGCTGGCTTTGAATTCTGGAGTGTCACTTATTAGAGCGTCATTTGAATTCTGGGGTGCTATTCAATATTTCACTGATCTTGAAAATCATCATCCATTCATAGAACTGGCTGACTGCTGCATCACTTGTCTACTTTTACCAGTCTGCAATGCATTCGTGGAGCGAGTGTTTCCACAAGTTACCTACGTGAAAAAATAAGCAACAAAACAGAATTTCAACTGAGGTACTGGAGTCCGTTCTTCGGACCAAAAGCTACGTAGTTGCTCAGCCGCAACAAGTGATGACACCCGAAATGTTAGATAAATGCAATATGCAAGCATGTTCAAAAATAAGCAAGAGGAAGATGACCTTTTTCCGTGTCTTGTTCATCTTGAGTGAAGGGGAAGAAGTGCCACGCAGTGATATAAAGGGGAACAAGTGTTAATGTAATCAAACACAGGAAAAGAAAAGTGCCGAAATATTTCAAACAGAGGAGAAAATATAACGTGTTCAATTTGGTTTATTATCCGTCAAACCAGATAAATGAACAGCAAAAAAGATGAAAAATTACTTTTCTGACGACTAGTTTCATCAAATTTTGAGGTATTAGTCTGTTTTTGAACAATAGAATTTCTGGTATTTTGAGCTGGGCAATCTGGTTCAAGGTTGTGGATGGTTACTTGTGGTGCTGCCTTTACTCAGCCTCCCAGTGTCTGCTCTCTATGAGATATTCTATAATAAAAGAGTAAGTGGTAATTAACTTTGTCTAGGGAATAATAACGAATTGCTCATGCAATTAAATTAATTAATTAAATTAAATTTACTAATTAGTCTGTTTTTGATATTAAAAGTTCAAGTATGAAGAACTCTAAAATTTGAATTCTTTTACAATAAAAGTCTCAGGATAAGAATTTAACAAAAACGTATGAAGCATTTTTATTATTTTTTTTTGCGGTAGATTAATACCGTTCCTAATTTATTCTTTATACATGCATGGTAAATAGCTTTGTTCTTTTCCTTGTTTGTTAAAATAAATCTTCATACCTAATGTTTGCTTTAGGTAGAACAATTCCAGCCTTAGGATGGCATCGGGTGATCACTAAATCGTTCCCATGACGCGTTCCTCAATCGAGCGAGGCGAGGAGCAAGCGTTCGTCAGGTTTTCCTTCCATTTGATGCAATTTAAATTAACTGAATTGGTGGAAGCATTCTAAGAGATATATTCATATGTCATTGAATTTATTTAATTAGTAGTAATTAAAAAAGTATTCATTTAAGCAAAGTAACGTCGGGAAATAATAAATGCTCTTTACAATCAATACGTGAAAATAAGTCTACCAGCATCGAGCTGTCCTTGTCGTATACTTACGTATCACGTTCTCAATTGATACTTAATATAACATGAAAGATTATCATTAAATTCTATGATGTTAACCAAGAAAAAGCTCATAATTTACGGTCATTTGTCATGTGGACATTGCATTATTTTTAATAAATAATCATTATATTAGCAGATACAATGCCTTATATTATGAGTAAAGTCGATTTTGAATGTGAATGCACTGAATGTGGTATCCCAAAAATCGTTCAGATTAGCACGCGAAGCACGAAAAGCGTACCTAATGCAAGGGCACTGGTTTGATTTCAAGGAGAAAATGAAATGAAATGTCATATAAACTTATCGTTAAATTCGACTAAAATGTCCCTGTTCTATCGACAAGTCCATAATAACGAAAAAATTTATAGCTACTGATAACATGGTGGAATAATTTGATCTGTTTGAAAAGTTTGAAAATTTAGGCCGAGAAAATACCCAGCTACCATATGGGATATGACATGAGGAATGAGGATAGACAATCAAACTTCCAGTGCTGGTAGCAAATTTTTCCTGACAAGGCTGCAATTCCTGGCCACCGTCCAACCGCGTTCCTCCGCAGTAATGATGGCGGCAAGCGGCGTTGTGCCGACCAAGCCGCCACGCATCTCCAAAAACAATAAAGGTTTCAGTTGGTAGAAGCTCAACTGTATTCAATATTTGTAAGTTCTTATACTAAAAAAAGCTTCATTACTTCTGCACAGACATTCAAAGAGATGATATCGGCAACCGAAGATTTCAAACCAGCACATGAACTGCGGAGACGTGAGCCGAAGACCGAGCCAAGCATCCGCTACGTTTACGACAACGACGCCTACGCCAACGGCGAACTTAAGGTGATAGTCGAGGGCATGTTTTCCGATTAATCGATCTTTCTGGGGCCATACTTTCAAAACTCGCTACGTGAACGTAAATATTTACGCTCTATTTTCTTGTCTATGATTGGTGGATTTTGCTTGAAAGGCCGTCAATGATTGGCTAATGAACTTACGATCTCTTAACTTTTTGAAAGTATAGGCCTTGGTATCTTTTCCGATCGATAATTTTAAGGAATTTAGTGGCGCTCATTGTTTTATCATTCCTTATGCAAATGCATCATCAGGTCAAATCACACCAGCACCATGCAAAGCAACGATGAATTAAGATTGTGAAAGTTTCTTGATCTTAATCGACTGAAAGTGTGATAATAATTAAATTTAAGTTCCACCTGAAGTGGGAAAGCATGAATGAAGTGGTGTTTATGCAAGTATATTCTCCATGAAATCTCAATTTAGTTTAGAACCATTTTTCGAGTCCCGAAAATGGTTCTGGCCAATTCTTATGCCTAAATTCTGACTCAGGCAGCATAAATAAAAATTAGATAATTTTGGCCTTGCTGATGCGAGGAATTTCTTTACTGCAGAAAGCCTAAAATTTAGTTGAAGAATCAACATGATCAAAAACAACTTCCATATTATCCCGCGATAACGCTCGAGTGTTATTTTTCAAGTAAAGAATTCGTTGGCGAGGCGAAGAAAATTTCAAGAAATGCGATTGTTCTGCGAAATTTGAACAGTGGCCGACACAACACACATATTCTCAGCTTGTTTTGAATAATCCATAAAATTTTCTCTTGCCAACAATCTCTGCTCGATTGGTCCGCTGCAGGTTACTATTTCAATACCTTATTTTTTATGATATACTTATTGCTTCGTTACAAAAACCGGGTAATAGTGTCGACATAATCGAAGTGTTCAATGTTCCTGATGCCTCGCAATATTTCATAATCATACCGAATAGAAATTGACTTAAATTGAAAATACACTTTCGCTTTCAGGTTGAAACCGGCGCTCGGAATGATCATTGGTGATGATTTCTTCAGGCTCTCAATTTGCTTGGGCCCGTGGCCCTTTCTTCAATACGAAGCCTTGAATCGGTTACGACCTTTAACGATGATCATTAGCTGGACGTGGTGATGAAGATAGTGGTGGTGATAGTGATGATGATGGTGGAGATGGTGGTGATGATGATGTGGTGATTGTAGTGGTGGTAGTGGTGATAATGGTAGTGACAGTGCGGTGCCTTTATAGGGAGGAGTGGAAAAGAAGGTACAAGAGGCGTCATTGAGTGGTAAGTAGGGGTAAAGAGAAAATTGGAAGTCAGGTACCAGTGAAAAGTGTTACGTCACAGGCTACATTTTAATTTCCAAACCCTTCTTGCCTGGACAGTTTTAGGGTTATACTATCAGCCATTGTCTTCAATGGTAGAAATGTCATCGTATTTAAAGATAGTAAAGTTATAGGAACAGGTTTGCCTTAAAGTTCTGACATACAGTTTTGGTAACATATAATCGCTTGACAAATGTCGTCGTATCTTATTTTTATTTAAAAATTAGAAAAATTCAAAAAATTCAAACCAGTAAGACATGGTTGCTGTCAAGGTTAATAAATTAAATTTTGGAATGGGAAATAATTTACTTGCGCGAATTTTTGCCTCCTGAATCTCTTCTCTAAAATTCAATGTGTGTTTGAAGAAAAACAGTAAAATTTATTATATTATTTGCATGTAGTACACAGGGAGCATATGCATTCCTAATTGATATCGTTAGGAAGAATTGTTATTCTAATTAGCTTTCCTATGCATACAATTCATGGTGCACTTGCTTGGTTTCAAGTTATACCTTCGTTCAAGTCAATCGAGGAAAAAAACCGTGTACAGGTATATGGATATTATGTACCGTGTTGATAATGCATTTTATCTGATTAGACCTTGCCATTATCTCTGATAATGACTATCATCATTAAAGAATAGCCAGTCTCTTTCCTTCCATAAAACACACACGCAGTGCACCGGCATTGCTTGGTCTTACGTTGAGCTAAGAAAAGGTGATTTTACTTTCAACTTTGGTGAAGTTGATCGCGAATAATGTTAGTCAATATGAGCCAAAACAATAAGTTTGCATTGATATTGTATCATAATGATATTGTTTTCAAATAGTGCGTTAAGACCAAATGATTTCTTAGCAATATAACCTCTACTGAAAAATCTTGCCAGCTTCACAGTTTATCTTCGACAGTTTCGTGTTGCCCGCTTGCCGAGTGTTTAAGTAAATCAGCCAAGTAAATAGTCGAAAGCAATGAATTTACCAATGCAGGATCACCAATTTAGTGAGTAGTCAATATATTTCAATTGCAGACTTCAGTTTCCAATTCTTGTTCAAAAATCTATGAAAGCAATCTTGTTAGAAAAAAAATTTAAAATTGGCTTTGGGAATCTATAATTGGGTCGAGGTCACTACAAGTTTAATTTAAACGTATAACTCAACTAAATCTGCGTTAAATAAACAAAGGATTTTCTCTGAGGAACGGCTTTAAACTTTCACGATTTTTGAAAATGTCGTGGTTGTAGAATTGTCCAGCATGCCCTGAAATTATTTTGGAAAATAAGTCATTTCTGAGCGGTAACTTCCATCTTTAATTTTTAGCTAATGTAATAGAAGACAATTAACTGTACTGTTAATAAGTTTTTTCAGCAGGCTGGTTCTATTATAAATTCAAAAGTTCACGATTAGTGGAGTGAACAATCTGGCTAACGAAAATGGTACACATGTTATCAACCAAATTTTCACGAAAAATAATAGTTATTAACGCCAATAAATGAGCTTGAAACTTTTGAAGGCATTAGACCTAATTGCGTTGTATAAACTATACAAAGATTCTAAATTGTGTCGTCGGAAGCACCCAATACGAAATCTTAATTTGAAATCTCAATAGGTCACCTGGATGTAACCATTCTTGTCGTGATTGCGCGTTGCTGCACGAGTTGGGTGCGAAAGTAGTCTGTCAGCGGTATCTGCATCCTTGATGCTCGGCTCCTCTAATGCAATAGCCAATCTAATTAACAAGCTAAGCCGCTCTATTGTAGAAGTAATATGAGGTCGACTTATTCTGGAGCGCAAAATGCGGAACTGCATTTAAAAGTTTGGCAGCATCGCATATAAAGTCGTTTGGTTCACCTTTCTACCAGATTTCAGAACCGAAGATAAAATCATTGGAAAACATCGATTTTATGTGAATGACAAAATTTTGAAAACATTTCATGAATAAAACTTTCAAATCGTTTAATGTTATTAAACAGGAGCAGAGAGTTGAGGGTTCGAAACCAGTAACTATATTGGAGAAAATTCTGATCGAAATCAGTAAGTAAGGCGATATATCTGAAGTTAGAAGTGGCTGACTAAATGATATCAGTGATAATATTATTATTTATCTCTTTTTTTTTTCATATTAACTTCCTAGTCAATTTACGTTCTTACTCTCACTGCTATTAGCTTTCAAGTCAAAAGGATCATTTTGCTCGCAGATTAACTGTTGCATCATGTGTGCGATTTCTTGATAAACTTCAATGAAATTAAAATTAGGAATTAACTTCGATTACAAATGATAGTTCATGCGCACGAACAATTACTTGCCGAGAACGGCGAACATTTGATCACCGTTTGTATACAGTAAGCAAATACAGTCAATCTCTCGTCAAGACAGATCGTTCGAACTGTTCAGCAAAATAGCAACGCTGTGTGATTGTTTCCGGTAAACAACATAGCTTGTCAGCTATTTTTTTATTCAGATAGAAGCGCGTATTATAAATTTTATTATATTTAATGTTTACTTTCGAATCCAGAGTGCGGAGGCCGATTTGCATTTTACTCGTAGATTCGAATAGCTCCTTTAGTTCCACGGTAAATAATAAGCTTAGCACAGATGCAGGTTAGTAAGGTACAGTTGGTGGCGCTGCTGCTGCTGCTGAGCTGCGGCATGTACAGTCACGGTAGCAAGATCCTCGTCATCGCGCCGCTAGCAGGCAAGAGCCACTGGCAATTTTTTGGCGAGATTATCAAGACCCTCGCTGACCATGGACACCAAGTGAGTATTATAAAATGTAATTAGGATCATAAGTATTACCAGCGTAAGCATGACGTTGACACTAAACATGTGCATTGTACAAAGCCAAATCCCCAAAGAACAGCATACCGGAAACTTATTTGATATCAGGTACACAAACTTACTTATAGGTACAACTTAATTATAGGTACAACTTAACTTAAAATTATAGTACAATCTATCTTGAAATAATAAATTGAACTACCTACTTCAAGTCATTCCACTCCATGGGTGGTTAAAATCGGGCTTCCATATATATTGCTTCTTGTTTCCTCCCTTGCTACCTAAGAAAACGTTTTGTGGCCACACGTGCAATGATTTCACATAGTCGGGTCTCTGGCTGCGACCAGAAAGTTCACACCAATTCATTAATGAACTGATATGAAAATAATTTTTTCTGTAATGCTGACTTGATAGGAATACGTGCACGTAAATTTTTATGAATGATCCAACTCTTTCAAAGGCATACATAGCTTTCTCTTGTGAAGCGGCCCAAGGTCTTCGCTGAATGTGATACTGTTATTTATTTTTTAATAATAAACACTCTTTTATGGGGTTGATTGTTGAAAACTGTAATTAAATAACCGTTGTTGTATGTCCAATCCAGATAAATGCATTGTCATGATGTTGCGATTGTTAATTCAGAACGTGAGAGTGGTCGGGTTAATGAGCTTGCTATTCTGCATCTAGCAAAAACGAGGTTCGTAAGGTTCTTGTGAAAATTCTGTTTCATTCAATAAAGCGCAAGCTAAGCCCAAACTAAGTAAACAAAAGATTTAGTCTGCGAAAGAAGACTTTATTTCACGACTCCTGGAGGTGCAGGATGCTATCCTTCTTGAATCCCCTAAACCTAGAGAAAACTTGTGCTCAACAACTATCACCAACCCTAATAAATTACTCAACTCACTTATCACGAATAACCTAACTTATTGACAACTTATTCATGGCCACTACAAAAAAATTATCATGTCAATAACAAATGGAACTGGAATAACAAATGAAACAAGAGGAACTTTTTTAGCTTACCAATATAGGTCATTCACATCTCCCAAACAACAAAGATAAAGATCAACTGGCGAGTATCCGAAGCTCATAAATGGGTTGCTCATGACACCAACGTGTGGTACAGACTGACATAGCTAGAACGCGTCTATCCCTAACATCAATACTTCATAACCGGTCTCGTCTGAAATAAAATTCAAAACCCTGCAGCGATGAAGTCAACTTACATTTTTGCTAAAAAGTATTAATATGCACTAAAACTGTGAATTTTTCAGATAACGTCGCTGACATCGATGCCGATGATCAGTCACAACAACGTCACCGAAATAGACATCGAGTTTGATATGAGCCCTCTCATCCCGAACACATTCGAGAATCGTGGTTGGTGGGCGGGCTTTAGCATGATGGCTAAGGTGCCCGGAATGTGTACAGAAGCGTTGTCGAGGAAAAATGTGCGCGATATTAAAATCGAAGAATACGACCTGGTATTCATCAGCCTCTTCGTCAATGACTGTTTCTTTGGACTTTTGGATAACACAGAGGTAAGCGTGGGCTTAGGTTATATGTCAATAGCATTGGCAAAAATTTTGAGATTAGAGAGATTAATTTTACCCAATTTCATATTTGTTATACTTCGATTCGGACTGAGTATTTTTCATCGGAAAACCACGAACTATTGGTAACATTTTTCTTATTCCAGTCTATGAACATGAAATTTACTAATATTTCAAGAAAATTGGCGAATGAACAACTGCCATAAATGAATGGTCTCGATTATAGTTGTCATTTAGTTAAGACTCCATCTTGGATTTGGCTACAAGTCTAGATCATACTTGAATTGAGGTAGGAGGATTGAGGATTACTATTTTTGCGATTTAGACTTTTTTGAAGGTCAATTGGCATCTAGGGATTTATCCCACCACGAGGTGATTAAATTTATCTTCTGCTGCATCAATTTAACAAGTAGTTAGTGTGAGGAAGTCAAATTTCCTTTTCTAAGTCAACATGCATTGTTTTGAGTTTCGTCCATTTGCAGGTTCCAGTAATAAGCATGAGCCCGAACACACTCGTCACGACCTT